CTCACATAAATTTAATAAGCCGCCACTTTGCTATAACTGTTTAATCAACCTTTCTTTTGTTCACATTAGCATATCATTGTAACTGTCGCTATGTGAGAAGAGAGCTTACATTAGACATGTCTGACTTTGAATTAAATAGCGGTTAACACTTTGTTTCCATTAATCGTTTCTTCTTTTGAATTCTCTCCCCGTTACTCTCACTCGCGTAAATTTGATAAGCCGCCACTTTGGTTTAACGGTTTTGTCATCCTTTGTTTTGTTTACATTTGCATATCATTAAAACTCTTTCTCTCTCTCTCTGAGTGAAGAGAGCTTACACTGAACAAGACTGGCTTTGAATTAATTAGCGGTTTACTGTTTGTTTTTGTTATGTTTCCATCACCCGTTACTCTCTCTCTCTCTCTCACTCGTGTTAATTTGATAAGACGCCGCCTTGGCTTAACTGTTTGTCATCCTTTGTTATGTTTATAGGTGAATGTCATTATAACTGTTCTTTGTGTGTGACTTGTCATTAGACAAGCAATAAAATGGGATCTGTAGGTCGTTTTTTGGCAAACCTCAAGAATTTTGAATAAAGAAAATATTAAATTGAAAAATATAAAATGTAAAATATATTAAAATAATTAAATATTAAATTAAAAAAAATTAAATTAATGCAGAAACGCGGAATATTTTTTTTTTTTGAAATCAGTATTTTAACTAAAAATTAGAAAAAAATTGTAAAAATTAGGTCTATTAATGAAATAATAACAAGTCGAACTATAGAACCCTAAATATGAATAATTAATAAATCAGCTGATTAATATATTAATTTCCAAATATGAATTTAAAATGCCACTTTCAAACAGGCTCTTTTAACTCATTCTCATTCTCATATCCTACTTTAATTTATCGTTTACCTTTTGACATACAAAAAAATGACTCCTAACCTAACATTTTAAATTCTAACCTAACTTTTAGCTTCTGCTGTTCTTTTTCTTATTGCAATGCGTAAATGTCAAATGCCTCCGTTTTTTTACAAAAATCAAACCTTTCTTTCCATAGTTTTCATTTTTTTTTCGTTTCCCTTTATTTTTCCCTAACTTAAGGCCAGTCGGCTGAAATAAATCGAACAGATGTTTGCCGTAGGGCAATTAGTTATTTACACTTGGCTACTAGACACGTAAATAAATACGTACATACGTCGGTATCGAAGGATAGCAAAACAATAGCATACGTTTAGACAGAGATATCTCAGTTGGTTGGTGTCATTTCCTTGTTGTTGTTGTTTTTATTACGGCATAGCCTTATAGTAAGGACTATATCAAGTGCACCCATTAATAAACCCCAGGGCGACAAATTGAATTCACACGGATAAATAAATTTGCCTAAAGGTTATGGAGAACGAACGGGAAAAACTCCCCATTTGTAGCAGAAACAAAAAAAAATAAACAACAAATGCTTAACAAAAATATAAAACAGCGGGTGGCCAGACACCCAGCCATTGATACGCTGGTCCTCTTTTATCCAACAACAAAAACAACATCTAACAACAGCCTATCATCATTTAAAATAGTAAAAAAACATGAAGAAGTTTTGCAATGTCCAACAAATGTAATGCCCATTCCCAGTGATGTATTAGCAGCAATAACATAAAAAGGGGAAGCTGAGAAGCATCCCTGATTTTCGCACGCACACACACTCTCCCTTTCTCTCACTCACTCCCTTTTTGTCAAAATGAGCAAAAACGGAAGTGTTTGGCCAGATCATTTTTATAATAAAACACACACAAGATATACAAATGAAATTAAGAGGGATTTGTTGTTGTTTGTGTGTTTGTCTGTCTAATTTTTGTTCTCAAAAATTGTGTTGACACTTTTTGCTCAAGTGCCCATATAAACTACACCACAGGATGCCAACAGAGAGTTTGGATGGGGAGAGATTTTTTTCACCGTGTTGTGTCTGTCTGTAGGCCTTTCTCTGCAGGAAATTGACATTTGTCAGCAATTACGTATAACTGTAATAAATCGTTTGACAAAAGGCAACAAAAAAGAAAAACAAAACAAAAAAACGTGCATTGAGTTTAAATTAACATAAATAATGATGACGTTTCTTACGTTGTTGTTGTTGTTTTTGTAATTGGCTTTGTTTTTTTTTTTTGTTTTTAGGAAGTATTACAAGTAAATCACTTATTAGTGTCGATTGACACCTAAGAAATAAATTGGGTATTTTTTGAAACAATGAGAGAATAATAGACAGATGTTAAAAAATATATTATTTTCTAAAAAGATAATTTTTGAATATATATTTTATATTATATATTTTATATAATAATTTTAAAAAGGTTTTTTATTTAATAAATTTAAAATATATACAACTCTAAATGTAAACAGAATTAAATTAAATAGCGATTTACTCTCTGTCTTTATTTTGTTTCCCTCAATCGTTTCCTACATTAAATTATCTCTCCCAATTAATTCCCCACACTCTTGTGATATTGATAAGCCGCCACCTTGGTTTAACTGTTTTTTTCCTCCTTTTGTTTCGTTTACATTTGCATATCATTGTAATGCTCGCTGTATGAGAAGAGAGCTTACATTTGACATGTCTGGCTTTGAATCACTAATGCACAAAATAGTACGATAGCGGAAATGATTGCAATATTTATACCAGTTATTCTGCATAAATAATATATTTTTAATTTAAGTCATTTTCGATGATTAAAAATCTCTAATTTTTGCTTTGGTACGTTTACTCTCAATTAAGTTCTGTTCAACTTTGCTTTGAATTAAATAGCGGTTTACTCTTTACTTCCATTAATCGTTTCTTCTTTTGAACTCTCTCTCCGTTACTCTCTCTCTCTCTCACATAATGTTGATAAGCCGCCGCTTTGGTTTAACTGTTTACTCATCCTTTCTTTTCTTTACATTTGCATATCATTGTAACTCTCGCTGTGTGAGAAGAGAGCTTACACTTGACATGTCTGCCTTTGAATTAAATAGCGGTTTACTCTTTGTTTCCATTAATCGTTTCTCCTTTTGAATTATCTCTCCCGTTACTCTCTCTCACATAAATTTAATAAGCCGCCGCTTGGGTTTGACTGTCATCCTTTGTTTTGTTTACATTTGCATATCATTGCAACTCTCTCTCTCTCTCTCTGTGGGAAGAGAGCTTACATTGGACAAGACTGGATTTGAATTAAGCAGCGGTTTATTGTTTGTTTTTATTCTGGTTCCATCAATTGTTTTTGACGTTGAAGTTTCGTACCGTTACTCTCTCTCTCTATCTTGCTCACTCATGTAAATTTGCTAAGCCGCCGCCTTGGCTTAACTGTTTGTCATGTTTACAGGTGAATGTCATTGAAACTGTTCTTTGTGTGGGAAGAGAGCTTTCATTAGACAAGCAATAAAATGGGATCTGTAGGTCGTTTTTTGTCCATTTTGATATTAGAGCTATTTAATGGAATTAAAAGGCAATTAAACTTAATAACAAATTGTGGAAATTGTTAGGCAATAAATTTCTCATGTTTTATGATAAAAATCTTGATTTTTTTTAAATCAAAATAGCATAAGAAATTAAAATAAAAAAGCAGAGATTTAAAAAAAAAAACATCAAAATGCCACAAAATTTAATTATTTTAAAAATAATTTTTTTTCATGTGGCAAAATGTTAATTTAAATATATAAAAAGGATTTTTAAGCATTTTTTAATAATATATAGTTGATTTTTTTTAAATATTTTTTTAAGCATCAACGAGCGTCATCTTTTAAAAATACATATTTTTAAAGTATCAACATGCTTGGATTTTAAAATATTTTTTTATGTGTCAACAAGTGCAGATTTTTAAGAAATGTTTTTTGAAATTATCAACAAGCTTAGATTTCTATATAAATATTTTTTTAAAAATATTTTTGAAATTATCAGCAAGCATAGATTTCTATAAAGATATTTTTCTGAAATATGTGTAGATTTTATTAAAAATATTTTTTAGAAATATTTTTAAAAAAAAATATTCCGCTTTTTGAGTACGGGAACAAGTGTATCTTGTCAAAAAAAAAATCATTTCTTCTCAATTTTTATTTCTTTTTTTCAAATTTCCTGGAACCTTTTAAATATTATCCCTAAAATATTAAAATTTTTTTAATGCCTCTGGGGTCATCAGCTGGCATGTCATATTTTTTATTATCTCATATTTTTCATTACATTTCTTGATAAATATTGAAAAACTAATATTTTGGGCTACTTCAAAATGACATATTATTTAAATCAACACTTCATATCATATGACACTCGCACACACGAAAAAAAGTGATACTTTGGCCAGCTAATTGTCTCTAAGTACCCTAAATCTCAGAGGCACTTCAAATGATTTTTCCGAACCTTGGAAAAAATTCTCAGTGATTTGAAACAACAATAAAAAAGGGAAAATTTCTCCCTAGAGTAAACCAGAGGAAAAGGGGATGGGGGGAGATGCACAAAAAACCTTTAGATCATAACAGTTGTCTATCTGTCTGTCTGCCTGTGTGAGTGTGTGTGTTGTCCGGCGCAAGGGAAAGGATGAGTGACAAGGATTCTCATTTTATTGTCTTTTGTTGTTGTTGCTGCTATATCGTATTACAAACATTGGCTGGATGTTCGAAACACAAAAAAAAAATTTGAAATTTGAATACTAAACTAACTTAACAAACATACAACAAATTCGATTACCATTCTCACATGTTACATTTGCATATATTCCCCCTCTTTGTCTTTCACTGTGTATTTTTTATGGACTGGGCTGTATGGAAATTTGTTACCCTCTGAAAAAAATAGATAATTTTTTTTCTTTTTTTGTTAAGGTAATAAATTTTAAAGATTTCAAAGAAAAAACAACTCATTATTACAATTTAGGGTGTCAAATTATTTTTTATGTACATCGTGTATGCCCCCCTTTAAAATATTATGACAGTTTTTAAGAGCCTCTTAAACGTCTTGCTTTAAATGTCAAAACTAATTGTTATTGTTTGTTTCTCTCTTTACAGCTTCTTTTTGAAATTCTTTTTAAAGTGTAATCAAAATTGTTTGAAAAATGCTGGCAATCCACGAGATATGCGAAGATTTCAGGTATGTTATCAAAAAAATTATTTTAATTAAAAAAAAAATTATTAATTTAATTTTTTTTTGACAGGTTGTCATTTCCACCCAGGTGAGCGTGGAGGGCCCTCTGCTGGCCATTTCGGATAATATGTTTGTGCACAATAACTCAAAACATGGCCGGCGTGCCAAACGTTTGGATACCACGGAAGGTACAGGCAATCACTCCCTGTCCATAACGGGACATCCCCTTGCGCCTGACAGTACCTATGATGGTCTGTACATCAAAATTTCCATTAAAAATTATTTTTTTGTTTTAATTTTAATTTGAATAGTCGATATTAGAAAATAGAGTTGCATTTTAAAAAACAGCTGATTGCTAAAAGAAATTAAAATAGAGTAAAATCGTAGCATAATTTTAGGATTATATTATATTTTAGGCATATTTTTTTAATTTGAGAAATGACATCGAATTTCAGAATTTCTATTTTTTCTTCGAAGGCCGCTTATTTATATTCTGCAAAAAATCGGACATTTTGGAAACATTTTAATGACTAAATCGTAGCATATTTTTAGGTGTCTTTAAATTATAAAATTCATAATTTTTTTGAATTTGCGAAATAACATCAAAAATCACAATGATTTCGACCAATTCAGAATTTTTATTTTTTCCTCCAGGTCTCCTCTGTAATATTCTGCAAAAAATCTGTAATTTTAAGGCAATTTTAGTGACGAAATCTCCACATACTTTTAGGAGTCTGAAAATCATAAAAAAACATCATTTTTAATTTTCATAAAATTAAGTCGACAAACGAATAGTTACGAACATATCCGAATTTTTATTTTCTGCCAGGGCAGTCCTCAACAAGATTATGTAAAAATACAGGGATTTTATTGGGGATAAAATGGCTAAATCACAGCCTTCTTTTAGGAGACTTAAATTCAAAAATATTATTTTCTCCTTTTTTGGGAGGTAAAATCGTCTAAGGAATTGATATAGGCCAAGCTTGCAATTTCTATTTTTTCTTCAAGGGGTCCTCAGTAAAATCCTGCAAAAATATAACAAGGTTGTTGTTAATTTATTGACAAAATCCCTGCATACTTTAAGGAGCACAAAAAATCAAAAATATTTTCTTTTTAAATTGTTGACATAAAATCGTCCAAAAATGTATTTTAGTGATACTGAGAATTTCTATTTTCTTCTTAGGAGATGCTGCATACGATTTCACACAAAACGCACTCCATTTCCGAAATTTTTCTGTGCAAAAATTGAATTATAACAAGAAATCAAAAGTTCAGTCAGAAATCAGCTGATTATAGTTTGTTAATTAGTTAGCTTAGTAGTAATTAGTCCATGACGTAACGTAAAGTACATTTTGTGTAGTTTTATTTTAATTCTTTATTTTTTCCTTACAATTGGCATACATACTTCCCCTCATACTAAAACACACACACACAAAAGTGTTCCCTTTTAATTGGAAATTTTAATTAAATATTTTCTTCTTTTCAATTTTCAGGTCTCTATCCGCCCTTACCCGTGGCCACACCCTGCATCAAAGCCATATCACCCAGTGAGGGTTGGACAACAGGTGGCGCTACTGTCATCATTGTTGGTGATAATTTCTTTGATGGCCTCCAGGTGGTATTCGGTACAATGTTGGTTTGGAGTGAATTGATCACATCGCATGCCATACGCGTACAGACCCCACCTCGACATATACCGGGAGTTGTTGAGGTTACCCTATCGTATAAGAGTAAACAGTTTTGTAAGGGTTCACCGGGTCGTTTTGTTTATGTGTGTAAGTAGAACAAGAAAAATTAATAAAAAAAATAATTAATTTAAAGGTGGAAGGTCCCTCCGAGCTTTGAATCTGAATGAAGATCTATTAAAGAACATCATTTATTAGTTAGATTACTAAAAAAATCATTTTTGTTAACATTTTTGTAATTTGTTCAGTGGCCTGGCACCTTTAGCTTTAATGCTTAGGGATCACCAGATCGATTTCTGTCTCATTGTGCTTTTAATTTGCTAATAAATCATTTTTTGTTTACAAATTTTTAATTTGTTCAGTGGCCTGCCACCTTATGCTTTAATGCTTAGGGATCACCAGATCGATTTATGTCTCATTGTGCTTTTAATTTACTAATAAATCAGTTTTTGTTCACATTTTTTGTAATTTGTTAAGTGGCCTTCCACCTTTAGCTTTAAAGCTTAGGGATCACCAGATCGATTTCTTTCTTTGACTGGTTATTCTTTTATAAATAAAATTAATTAAATTTTTTGTTATTTTCTTCCTTCTTTTTAGCTTTAAATGAACCCACCATTGATTATGGTTTCCAACGTTTGCAAAAATTAATACCCCGCCATCCCGGAGATCCAGAAAAACTACAAAAGGAAATTATTTTGAAAAGGGCTGCCGATCTTGTGGAGGCTTTATACTCAATGCCAAGGTAAGATTTTGAAATCTATTTTTCAAATTTCAAAATATAAATTAATTATTTTGTGTTGTTTCTTACAGATCCCCTGGCGGTTCAACTGGCTTCAACTCCTATGCTGGACAATTGGCCGTGAGCGTACAAGATGGTTCCGGCCAATGGGCTGAAGATGATTATCAGCGGACCCAGTCGAGCAGTGTTAGTCCACGTGGAGGCTATTGCAGCAGTGCCTCAACACCCCATAGTTCGGGAGGATCATATGGTGCCACCACCACAGCTGGTTCAAATGGTTATGGAGCCACAACCAATATGGGTACGTTGTCCACTTCCCCGGGCAGTGTCTTCAATTCCACTTCAAGTTAGTAGATTCATGAAAAAGAAAAAACCAAAAAAATGAAATAATTTTTGAGGGATTTTGTGTTTTTTGTGTTTGGTCAAAAGAAATGCTTATTTTTTGAGGTTATGTTCATTAAAAAAAAAAATATTTTAATTTTATTTGTCACCTAATTTGCTTTTGTTTTAAATGTAATTTATTTTCTTTTTTATAAGTTGCTGATTGTTTGCCTATCTTTTTTTTTTTCATTTTCTTTTCATTCTTTTGATTTAACACAAAAAACATTGTAAACAATTACCCACAAAACTCCCGCCCAAAACCTATTTTGCTTTTGAACAAAAAAATTGAAAATTACCAAACAAAATACTCAGCAAGTGCCTTTTCGCCATTAATTTCAACAGTGTCCAGCACCTGGCATCAAGCCTTGGTCCAACATCATCATACACATCCGCATCACTATCATCATCCCCACCAGCCATGGCATAATACAGCCGTATCCGCAGCCACAGCAGCCGTTTAAATTCAAATATCCAGGATCCTGTATATCCTTGTTCGTTCACATCAATCCCGGCAAATATCCTCCCCAATAAAAAACAAATGATGATGCAAGCAGTGTGGGCAAAAATTCCCGGAAAGCTGTAAAAAAACTACAACTCAACAATAACAACAACACCACATTACACTTATAGGTACTATAATTTATTTTATATACTTTTTTAAATATTAAATTTAAGTTATTCTTTCGCATAGTTTTAATTTTTATTTAAAAATATATTTTATTTTGCTGTTAATCTTAATTTGGCCAAAAACGAACTATAGAACCCTTTTCCATAGATCTTCACTCCAAACTCCGAGAGAGAATTTTGTTTTGGCAACTCATGACGTTTTCTCACTACAAAGCAAAAGCGATGACGCTAACATGGCGAATGCCATCGATAATAACGGCGTCATGCTTTTCAACGGCGTCAGACAATTCAGCGCCGTCAATTTGTAAACAGCTGTAAACTAATTGCCTTAAAAGAGAAGTTTTATATATAAAAACTGATTTATTTACACATTTTTAATAATAATACATAGTTTACACACGGCAGTTGGCAATGTGTGGCAAAGCCATCTGGGCATAGCTAGAATCAATTATTTAATTTCTAATTTCATAAAATCAAATTAAAACGAAGGCATGATTTTAAATAACTATAGACTGTTTACATGGAACACATGTTATCTGGCAACTTGTTAAGCCACCTGGCCACACATTAATTTTAATTATGAAAAAATGTTCAAATCATGTAATAAAGATGGAAAACTTATTAAAATATATTTTTTAATAATTGAACACCGTTCACACAAGGCAATTTTGTGTGGCAATTCTTAAGCCACCAGGCCACACATTAAGGCAACTATTTTAATTTCTAAAATAAATTAAAAATAAATGATTTTAAATACTTATAGATATATCGCATTAGTTGGCAACACGTTAAGCTATATGGCCACACAACAAATTGGCTTTGGAAAATTTTGCAATAATAGTCGGTTACGAAGCTTATGACGATTTTTGTGACCATTAAGGTTACTTGTAGTATAAAAATCATTATTTAAGCCACCTGGCCACACATCAAATTCGTTAATGAAACTATTCAAATAAATATTAGTTTTAAAGACATGACTTTAAATACTTAAAAATTGTTAGAATTAAGCACACATTGATTGGCAACACATTAAGGGACCTGGTAACACATCAAATTTGTTTATGAAAATTTAGAAATATTGTAATTAAAAAAGTTTTTAAACTTACGAAATTTAGTGTGGCCAATAAGAGCGTGCGTAGATCTCAAAGCATAGTATTTAGGTTACCTGTCCAACATCAAATTCATCTTTGAACATTTTCAAATCATATGAATGACATGCCTTTATATACTAATAGATTCTTTGCATTAAGCACACATTGTTTGGCAACACCTTAAGGGACCTGGTCACACATTAAATTTGCCTATGACATTTTTGAAATAATGTAATTAAAAGTGTTTTTAGGCTTACGAAACCTATTGTGGCCAATAAGGGCGCGTTTAGTTCTCAAAACACAGTACTTAAGCCACCTGGGCATACATCAAATTCGTATTTGCAATTTTTCAAATCATGTGGATATGTATGCTATGAAGCTAATGCTAATAATTAGACAAATAAACGGTTGGTGATTACTTAAGGCACCCGGTCACACATCAATTTTCCCTATCAAAATTAAAATTTATGAAAAGAAATTTACTTTCATGCAACAAATGTCATCCATTGTAACATTTATGATCACAAAAGTGTTGCAAATCTAACATAGTTGTATTATAATCAAATTTAATTATTTCTATTTTTGCAAATTTAACATTTTTGACTAATCTCCCTGTTTTTTTTTCATTTCTTTCCAGGAGTTGGCAGTTTAAGCTTTAACCCGTTCACATTGCCCACATGCAATACCCAAGGCTATAGTAGTTCACAATTGGTGACATCAACTAAATAATATTACTACTAAATCAGCAGCAACATATATTTTTATGGGGATCATCAGGATGATAACATTAAAAAAATCTCTCCGCTAAACAAATATATATGGCAATATGTGCAATAATATTAAAAAAAACATAATGGATTAGCTCAAGAAGGGGTTAGGAGTAAAATCGAAACGGCTTAACCGACTGTTGAAAAATCCCCGAAAAAATAGCTTAACATTTTTCGCCTCTCATATCATTACAAAACAAATATCTCAATACAAATCAAAATATTTAATAATAATAATAACAAAAAACCAACAACAACATTTAATAATTACAAAAATACAACAAAAATTTAATGTATACGAGTTGAAAAAAAATCATTTTTTATTATTATAAAATTTTCTAATAGTAATTGCTATTCGAATAACAAAAAAATACCCGCTCTATAAAAATAGTTCGCAGATGCATTCTTTAATAAAAAACGATTAACATTTTTGCATTATATAAAAATATTAATGAACAAAGAATACTAAAAAATCATCAAATGTTATTAACAATAAGTAGACAAATTTATATTTAAAACAAAACAAAAAACAAGCAGAAATCCCCATAAGGTTGCAAAACTGGGTAATTTGTTGATTAAAGTGGTCTAGAAATCATTTTTAATTTTTTCAATATAAAAAAAAATAATTTCTAAGACTTTCTTAAATTAACTTGTGGTGTGGCCTGTTGACTTTATTATACCAGCTGACATAATTCCTTCTTGTGTAACGTTATTTTAGTGGCTTATGTAATAAAACCGCTTTCCTTGTGTTAAAAAACACGGTTTTTATTTTAAAATTTGAGGTGTGGCCTGGTGACTTCATTACAACATCAGCTGTTATAATATGCATAATATTCCTTGCAGTTTAACGTTATTATAACGGTTTATGATGAAGTCAGCATAATGAGAAAAGGGAAAGGCATTGCCATACATTTATCTTATATTGTGTTTACACGCCCCTCATTTTGAAGGTTATGTGTGACATTTTATTAGTTTTTTGGCAATTTTCGTTGAAAAAACACCAATTGAGCTATTGTTTCCGGCTTTTTGAACTCTTAAATCATATAAATTATCCAGTTTTATATAGTGTTTATACTATAATAATTGTTGTCAAACCAAAATATTTTTCTTCAATTTTTTGATAACGAAAAGTAAGATATAAATGGATCATTTCCACAATTTTAACACCTTTTAATCATCTAAATTACCTAGATTAATATAGAGTTTACACTATACGATTTGTTGTCAAATTAATATTTTTGGGTTTTTTGTTAAAAAATGGTAATAAAAAGTAAGCTAAATATTTAACATATAATTTTGCAACAAAAAGTCATGCAAATTATCCGGTTTTATTTCCAGTGTTCACACCATATAATTTATTTCAAAAAACAATTTTTAATGTTCAAAAAAAATTAAGATTAAATATTTTTGAAATTCCCATTTTATTGAATAAATTGACAACAAATATTATCATGTAAACAGTCTATAAGCCAATAACATCAAAACTACTTAAACAAAAAAAAAAAAACAGCTGATATTTAAATTTAATAACAAATATCATAATACAACAAAACATATACTTAAAAACATATCGTTAAAATTTTAAATATCTAAACAAAAAATAAAATAAATTATGTTCAAAATTTATTCTCAAAAGAAAAATATAAAACGAAAAAATAGTTATATTAACATATATACAATTTACATTATTAAACACACACACACACAAACATATGTACTACAAATGCCATGCATACCAACACAAACAATTTCTCGTATCACATATATAAATATTTTTTTAGGATAAAAAAATAATTTAATTAAAAGCTGTTATATACAAAAAACCACAAAATAAAAAACAAAAACACACACGCAATGTATTGAAAAAAATTTTGTATGTAATATTTGTTGTTAACAAGAAAATTAAATATTATTTTTATTTTTTCACAATTTTTTTTATTAAAATGTTTTACAATATATTTTTTTAATTTAAGTTAATTAGTTATAAAAAAGAAAAAAATGAGATTATTATAATAAATATGAAATAAATAATTTTAAGTTTTTTTATAGTTTTAATTGACAAAAAAAAAACGAAAACAAAAAACTTTAATATTATTAAAGACAATGAATACAACAAAAACAAAACAATTTGTAATATAAATTAATTAATATTATATATACACAAAAACATACATATCTACGGATTTAGTTTATTTATTTGTTCTAAGAAAAAGTAAAAAAAACAACAAAATTTAAAAAATATAAGAAATTATTATTAATAAATAAAATAATTAATTATTACAATAAAAAAAGCAAAAAGTATTTTATTTCTTATTTATAGGTTAGGGTGGACAAATTTTAGCGTCAATTATAGAAATTAAATGAAAATAAAAAACTTTGTTTATATAACTTGAGGTATGGCCAGATGGCTTTACTACATTATTTTTAATTTCAACTTTTGCTGTGATTAATCTTGGCAAAACATCATTATACACATCTGCATTACTTTTACCTTTTTTAATTATTTATTTTATTTAAAAATATTTTATTTATTTCTTACACTAACAAATTGGCTATAAACGATCTATAGAACCCTTTTCCGCTAGGTAGTCCACTTTGCGCAGCTGATGTTTTGATTAACTGTCAAAGTGGGTAATTTCTACTTGAATACGATGTGCAGTGTTGCCAACCATTTGATATATTATATGGAAAAAAAATTACACAGATAATCAAGACAAAACCAAAGGTTTTTGTTTTGATACCTAACCTTATTATTGCATCACGATCGCTGTTTACTCCAAGAGAAAACGGTAAAGCTGACTGTGATCAATCCAAAGCGTCTGTCATTAACATAAGTAACGGCGTCATTAACTTCAACACCACTTCACCTTTTGATCAGCTGTTTTGTTTTGTGTGGGAATTCTTAAGCTACCTGACCACAGCACAAATCAACAACTTATTTTCGGAAAATAAATGGAAAAAATCATGATTTTAAATACATAGACACTGTTTACATTAAGCACAATAAATTGGCAACATCTTAAGCTACCTGGCCACACATGAAATCCACAAATCAACAACTTGTTTTATATCTTAGAAAATAAATTAAAAAAGTTATTATATGGACTGTTCACATTTAGCATAGTAAATTGGTGACACATGTGTGTAGGTATTAAGCAATAAGGCCACACATCAAATTATGATACGTTTACTTTCATGTTATATTTATAATGAAACTGGCAGGCGTGACGACATACATGTATTGCAAACAATTTGGTCAAATGTATTTTAGTTGGCAACTCAATCCCAACTAGCTAACCACACATTAAATTTGTTTATGAAAAATTTAAAATAAATGAACCTTTAAGTGACTTGGAAACATCACAAATTATGTGTTTTAAAATTTTATATTGGACAAAAATCATGAAATTATTAATACTGTGCTCAATATTCAAATACATTTTGGTTGGCAACTGCATAAGTCACCTGGCCACACCTCAAATTCGTTTATGAAAAATTTATATCATATTACTAAACAAAGAATATCTTAAGCAATATGGCACACACATCGAATTTACTTTCATTTTATACTTATAATAAAAACTGACAGGCATGAGGACACACATGTATTGCAAATAATTTAGTCATATATATTTAAGTTGGCAACTCTGCCTCAACCAGCATAGCCACACATCGAATTCGCCTACGAAAATCACATCCTTTGTGGACTTTAAGGATTGTGATCTACATTTAAAGCACCCAGGACATACTACAAATTAAGTATTTAAGTTTTCATATTACACACAAAAAAATTGACAAGCATGAATTTATGACATCATTCATTGCAAATAATAGTGCCAAAAGTTGATTTTTATCAAATGATACTTTTTTTTATTAAAAAGGGGTTATTTTTAATTGATATAGATTTTATTAAAGTTTATTATAGTACGTTTACATTTAACCGGATTTCGTTAACCCAGTGGGTTTCAATTGTCAATTCCTTTGCATATATGTCAAATAAATCCTCATAAAGTAACCCGCTGAAAAAGTTCTAGTGTACATGCCGTTTTACTCATTGAAAATGTCCATTGGAAGTTAAATATTGTTTAAAATATTTACCTTTTATTAAATAAATGTTTTTTTTATTGAAAAGTGTACTTTATTTTGAAATGTGTACTCTTTATAGAAAACTGTACTTTTTATAAACAAAGGGTACTTTTATAAAAAATGTCTGCATTTTCATTTAAAAAGACTACTATTTTATTAAGAAAGGGGGAAATATATTTAGATGGTATTTTTTATTAAAAAGGGTACAATTTACATTTTTCAGGAGGTGCTTTTTTGCAAAGGGACATTTGAGAATTTGTATTAAATTAAAGGTAATTTTTATTGAAGGCTACTTTTAAAAAAAGGGATTTTTTTTTAAATCGTTACTTTTTTGTATAGGACAACTTCGAATTTGTATTAAGTTAAAAAAAAGGCTTACTTTTATTGAAAATAAATTTAATTTTCGTATTAAAAATTTAGTTTTTTTTTGTTAAAAACAAAACTTATTTTTTTTTTTTTATATAATGGGTTTTTTGTATTAAAATTGATACTGGATACAATGTGTACTTTTTATTAAAATATATACTTTTTTTACAAAAAATTTACCTTTTTTATTAAAATTTGTGATTTTTTGTATTAATGAAAAGAAGAAGAGAAGAATATTTATTCAGTAGGATATTTTTTTAAAAGTTCCCTTAAAAATATTTATTTTGTCCTATTCCTGGCAAAAGGACATTTTTGTACTAAAATTCAATAGCATTGCCATATTTAAATGTCAAAAGTACAATATCCTAGACATAAATCAATAGAATTGCCAATTGAATACAAATGAACAGTACTACCATCAATAAAAGACAGTAAACTGCCTTATCGACAACTTGTTTTATCGGAGACACACCTACTTTTGACTAGAAAAATCACAGAAAATTGATACGACGTTTCCATAGACTGTGTTATCAATTGTTAGTGATTGGCAAAAACGATTACTTTATTAATCGCATATGATGTACGCATTTCGTTACGCTTTGCAATTCATATACGTCATAATATAATTATTGTACATAACAAACTAATTATTGGATTGTAACAAAATTATTGTACATAATTCACTTTGAACTTCGTTGAAATGACCGTGATAACATCATATTAATTAATCATTCAAAATCAATATTTGTTATCGCACTATCGATAGCAGATATACAATCGACTTGCGTTAACCCTAATCGGCCATTTTTTCATCTTTTCCCATTTGTAGCTGGTGGAACGTTTTTATTTACAGTTAGGCATAACTCACATCATCATCACCGAAAAAGAAAACAGGTATAGCGAGCGAGGAGTGTCTGCCGATGATTTCGCGTTAAAAAAATATACCAAAAAACTCAACAAAAACCCAGCACAATTCGAAATAAAACGTTTACAAATTACTAATTAACTAATAATTCAACGAAACGTAAAGAAATTTGAAAAAAAAGAAACGAATTTGCAAAAAATATATTGAAGAAAAGGTGTTGCTTTGTACGAAAAGAAAAAAAGGAAATATAAAAGCAAAAGAAGTGGAAGAAACGAAATAAAGTGAGCAAAAATAGAAAAGAGAAGAAGTGAAAAAATGAGAAATATTTTTGCTATGTCATAGCAAAAGTGTGATGTGAGTTTCTGCGTTGGTTGCTGCTGCCGAGCGAGAGAGAGTATACAACAGAAGAGTTTTTAATGCAGATTTGACAACTGCTGTCAAAAGAAAATACAACACAACCGACAGAGCTTAACAAGAAATTGTGTGTTATTTTGTGCAAAAAGAAGCAAAGAAAAATTGTGCATAAATCTTTAAATAAATTGTGTGTGATTAAAGTTTAAATAAATTGAAAGAAATTGTGCAAGAAAATTGTTGCAAGCAATTGAAAAGAATTGTGGAAATATTAAAAATTGTAAACAGCTGACACCAGCACACACAAGTAAAAGAGGAAGAAGTAACGGCGGTGACGACAAACATAGATATAACAAAATAAGACACGAAAAAAAGTGACGACGTTGACAGTGCTGCTAACATCCACTGCCACTGCTAACCAAACGAACGAAACCTCTACGCCCACCGCGTTCGTCAGTCTGAGAGTGAATCATTTTTTGCTTCTCAGATTTTTTTCTTTCTTGTACTTGGATTGGATTGACTGGCTCGCTGATTGACTGCCTGGCTTTGAAAATGTTGTTTCATTCAAAGTGCAGTTATAATTCTCTGTAATGGACGGACACTGAACTTCTTTCTTTGTACTTGATGGTCGTTGGTAATGTGCCGCTAGCGAGCGAACGACGGACTCTCTAGCCACCTTAAGAAACATTAAGCCGTCATAATCATCAATAAACGGCAATTGCATTTAAGAATTTTGTTGCAACTTGCTGTGTGTGTGGTTGGTGGCAGGCCAACCGAGCTGAATCTAATTCTAATTACTTAAGAAGAAAGAAGAAAAGGAATAAAGAAAATTCAGAGAAGACAACAAGAAAAACAACAAACAGCTAAACATTCATCCAATTGATACAGCTCCAAGTCCCAACAAGACAAGACAAGAAAAAAAAACAACACCATCCAACGGATTGGCGAAAATTTTCATGGTGTCACGGTGAAAGTAAGCGAGCGGAAAGAAGTTACAGACAGACAACCCAGCCAGCACACGCTACACACAACAGCAACAGCAGAGAAAAGAAAATATTCCATTTTTTTCTATGTGGAAACGCCTGCCCTGCAAATATTATTGTGCTGCATGGTAGATAGCTTAGGCTGGCTACTTACAACACATAACACAAGAAACAAAAATTTATTCGTTTGTCGGAAGGAGCATTTGTAGCGAGCACTGGTCACAAGAGGAAGTGCTGTGCTGTGTGGTGGAGAAGTGCCAGAGGAAGCAAACACACAAAAGACACTCTTTTTTGTTCATTACACACTCACTCCTCCTTCTCTGACTTCATACACCAGAAGGCTCTGCTGCCTGCCGCTGCCTGCTTCTGCCAGTCGCTGCACATTTATTGTTGCTGCTTCTAGTCAAAAATCATTGGGGGCTGATTTTGCTGCCCCAGCACACGGGAGAAGTAAAAAACAACAACAACAATTTTGTATTGAAAGAAAAATAAGCAATTTTGTGTGAAACTCAACCAAACAAAAAAATTATTACACAAAATCAACATTAACATCATCATCGTCGTCGTCATCATCAACATTATTGCGGCCGCACCACAAACAGCACAATGGATGAGACTCAAGAAATTCGTCAGGTATGCCTTTAACAAAATTCATTCAGCCAGAAATATGTTGTTGCTTCAATGTGATATCTTTTTTTCCAAAAAAAGATTTTAGTTTATCGAAAAAAAAACAAAAATTGCAAATGCCAGCAGCAGCGGAAGACATTTGATGTTATTGTGTTTGATTATTGTTACACCCTCTCTTCTCTGTCTGTCTCTCTCTGTGACTCTTTGCAAATTAAATCATGATCTCAATCACATTACTCCCTCATCGGTTTTTTCCTTTCTTGTTATTTTTGTATTTTTTTTTGGAATTTTTTAATACTTTTAATTTCTTTAAGAAAAAAATATATATTTCAATGTTAATGGACAAGTCTGTCTTGAAGATTGTTGTTGGTGTATTTTGTGTGCCTTACTTTATTGTTGTTTTTGTTATTGTTTCTGGCTATATGGTGTCATTCGCCTACATCTATTGCCAAATGAGTAGTGTCAACTTTTTTTTTGTTCGTGTGTGCCGCATTTTTTTCGTTGTCGTTGTTGTTGTTGGCGTAGCAGTGGAGTGTGTTATTAGAATAAATGTGACAGCCAGCAGCAAAACGGCATCGGCATATAGACAGCGGTGACGAAGATACCACAAAATAACGATAAATACAATAAATATTTGTCTTTCCAACGAATTATGCGAAAAGAAAAAAACGAAGACAAAATAATGGGCAATTGCCCAACCCGCTAAATTTCATTTCAAATGGTCTTTCCCCAAACCGTCCGTCACAAACAGCTGCTACTGCAAAGCATATCAATCATTGCTCATATTTTTGCAATCAAGTAGATCGAAAGAGGAGAGTAAGTGAAGAGACAAGAGAGAGGGAGAGTAATTTATCCAAGAAGAAGAAAAATATAATATAAAAATATTAGTTAATGGACACATTTTTGTCCGTCTTTTTCTCTCTGTCATTATCATCACAATGGGGCTGGCTCTCCAGGAGTTAACTGCATAATCTTCACATTAAACATTCTTTTTTGATTTTGTTTACGTTTTGTTATTTTGTTGGCATCTCCGTTTGTCTAACTGCTGTCTGGCAAAATCTCCGTACCGTGTGCCAGTTGCATTTGACACTTAAATTGGTTTCATAGTAAATGACATATACTCTCCGTATGTCTAATTCCTGGCTCTCTGTCAATATCCCCCATTATCACTAAGGTTAACTGCATAAAATCTAGTTTGATTTTGTATTAGCTTTTTAGTTAAAGACAACTCCGTATATTTAATTCTTTGCTATCTGCCAATATCCTCCATTACAATTACTCTCAGGAGTTAACTGCATAATATTCATATAAAAAGCCTGTTTGATTTTGCTTAACGGCTCAATTATATTGGTCAAATGACATCTACTCTCCGTCTGTCTAATTGCTGGCTCTCTGTCATTATCTCCCATTATCACTAAGGTTAACTGCATAAAATCTTGTTTGATTTTGCTTCACGCCTTACGGCACATTTGTGTTAGTTAATGACATCTCCCCCTTGTTTAATTGCTCTCTGTCAATATCCCCAATCATCATGGCTCTCATGTGTCAAATGCATTTATCATTTAAATGAAATCTCTCTTTAATTTTGTCTTGCGGCACAAGCACGCATAAAAAAAATAATAAAAATGCACACAAGAATTAACTGCACTGACATCTACTTAATTTAGCATTACACCCCTAATGTTCCACATTTTGTCATCTCTGCCTGCTTAACACCAAATACCATGGCTCTCATAGGTCATTCTTTTCTGCTCAACTGTATTAATTTGTTACTTAATGACATATTCACCTGTCTACTTGCTCTCCGTCATTATTGGTTCTAATCTTTATGTGATAACTCTGTTTGATTTTGTTCTACACCTCTGTTACATTCTTTTCTTAGTGAATGACATCTCCGCCTGTCTAATTACTCTTTGACAACATCTCCTTCATGTTAATTTTCATGAGTTAACTGCTGTCTTAGTTAATGATATCTCACCTTGTTTTTTAATTGCTCTCTGTCAATAGCCCCAATCATCATGGCTCTCATATGTATTACAAATATATTTATTTTTTATGTGTACGATTTTCTCTACACACAAAATATCACTATTTAATTTAATTTTACTCCGTACGGCACAGTTGCGCCACTTTCTTAGTTAATGACATCTCCGCCTGTCTAATAGCAGATTGCTCTCTGTCAATATCCCTCTGCGTCTGTCTAACTACTCTTTGACAACATCTCCTTCATGTTCATTCTCAACAATTAACAGTTGTCTTAGTTAATGACATCTCCCCCATCATGGCTCTCATATGATAAATACATTTAGTATACAAATTAAATCTGTCTTTGAACACAATTAAATATGTCTACAACACAAGCAAACATTAAAAAAATATTTAATTTTTAAGCGTAAGATCTTCTCCCAACAAAAGTATCACTATTTAATTTAATTTTACTCTGTACGGCACAATTGCGCCACTTTCTTAGTTAATGACATCTCCACCTGTCTAATTGTTGATTACTCTCTTTCAATAATCCCCCTCATATGTCAACTGCATTTGGCTGTCAGATGGGCCAACTGCATTTGACTCTCTTTGACTTTGTCTTACGGCATAATCCCACATCAAAATAATATTAATAAAATATCTATTAATTTTTAAAGGAAATGGAATAAGGTGAGGGGGGAAGAACTTCCCTTTACATTTTTATATTAAACAACAACAACTACTACTACTAAAAATATTGTCATTTATTTTATTATTGGTAATTTCACTTTTGTTATGTCTGTTCAATGTAGTTAGTTCTCTCTCACTTGACCTCTCTCTCTCTCTCTGGCTCTCAATCACATTATAGAGATAGTACGTCAAAATCATTACAGAGTGTGGTTTAACAGCTGCTGCTGCCGCCCATATACTTGCCACTTGCCATTAAAACAGGTTCAACCTGTAACCACACTCCATAATTCTACATTTAAAATAAAAAAAAAACTTTAATGCAGCACACAGCAAATACCTACTGGTCTTAACCAAGCCCCCACAAAATTTGTAGTTTATTAACAAACAAATACCACAAAATAAAACAAAAAACACAAACGAAACATAACACATTTTTTTCGTTTTGCCAAAAAAACATGACGATGATGATGGGGAATAGCAACAAAACGCAAAATGCTGACATAATTCTGCGTTAGAATAAATGGCCAGCTAAAATGAAATGTTACTTTATGGCTGGCTGGTTGGCGGTTGGCTGACTTGACTGGCTAGCTGGGTGCGTGTGCTGCCCTATAAATAGGATAGGTGGTCGTCGTTGTCGATGAAATGACTTTTTGTGAGTTGTCTTTTTTTAATTTTTTTTATTTGGTTGTGTTTTCAACACAAAACCTAAAAATAAAATATTGTGTTTTATGTGCCACCAAATGTCTTCTTTCATGCTCTGGCCCAGTCGTGTTGATTGCATCTGGAATAATTATAGCCAAATTGCATTGCATTCATTCATGTGGATGTTGGTGTTTTTGATTTTTGCCAACAACATTCCATTACCTTAAGATAATTATTCTATTTTCCAGCTACTTTGTTTTTAAAGATTTAAAAATAGACATCACCACTATTAGCAGAAGTAGTAAAACAGCAGAAGCTTCTTCATCCATCATTATCCACATAATTTTGCTATTAACTAATTATTATTCTATTTTATATTTACCTTTTTTTCTTTCTCTCTTTTTTTGCAGGCCCGCTATCGTGCCTCTGTAAAATGGTTACTATCCAAAGCCTACAACAATCGTGTACCGGATAATTTAAAAGAACCATTTTATCGCGATCATGAAAATCAAGAACGATTAAAACCAAAAATTGTTGTTGATCTAGCAAATGCCACACTCTATTGTCAAACATTATCGAATTTATATTCAGATCCAAATTACCAAAGCCTTAATCATTGGTCAATATTACAGACATTGGCACGCAAAGGTGTGCCCGTTAATGAGACAAAGGATATGCCATTGACGGAGACCGTGTTAATACAAACAAACCCACTGAGAATTGTAAGTATACGATTAATGCATGTAAAAAAACTCCCATATATTTATGTTTGTATTTGCAGGAAGAAAGGAGGTTTTATGTTATAGTTTTTAAATGTGATGTAGAATAATAAGGAAATAGGAGGAACATATTCACAAGGGATGAGGGGTTTCCAGGAGTATTAAAAACATCATTTAATAATCCAGTATTGGGCCTCTTTTATGGAAGTTCGCATATTTTTCATTCGATCCCATGCAATGCATATTCAAAAATTTCGATCTGAAGTATATGGGGTGTATTTATGTAGGTCCCTATATTTTGTAGTCACTGGGGATGAGAGATTTTCCAGGAGAATGATTTATATAAAAGTCAATACGTTGCTGAGGTCTAAAAACCTCACTTAATGATCATTCCTATGGAAGTTTGCCTATTTTTCATTCGATGCCATGAAATGCATTTTCAAAAATTTCGATCTAAAATATATGGGGTTATGTATGTAGGTCCCTATATAATGTAGACACTTGCATAATGGTCCTCAATTTATTTGCAGGGATCAATATGCTCGCCCTGATTTTTAAAAGACATCCCAGGTTTTATATTCATATTTTCAAAAACTTCCATAATTATCTTGATTTGCAAAAAGTCTATATCGACCTACATCGATGTTCTCAATTTTATGAAGGACATAAACAGACATCCTATATTTTATAGGCATACTACCAAGGCTTTTGGTTTGATTTTAGCCCCTAAGTTTTTCTGAATTACACCAAATTTTGCATTGCCTTCACATTCATAAAAAAGATATCTTTCAACTAATTAGCCACACACAATTTTTTTTTTAATATGACAACAACAAAATTAGATACAACAATAAACCCCAGATCTACAGTGGGTATATAAATATTTATTTTATATAATGACTCACGGTTATCATTTGATAAAAAGCGAATTTACTTTATAACTTAGAAGACAAATATTTATACAATACTGAGAAAATACAACAACAAAGTAGGTCTCATTAAAATATTTTGCCCCTTATCACACGTTTATCGTATTAAACAAAAAAATAATAACAACAACAAACTAACAATAATATTTTGTTTTTCTTCTTTTTTCAACAGGTGGCCCATATAGCAGTCATCGAATCATTAATGATGTTATATGCCAAGGAAATAACATCCAATGAACGTGTCAATAATGCCATTAAACGTATATCGGGTAATGTTAATCCTCAACTGCCCGTAGGTAATGTTGAACAAACCATACTCTCATGGGTGTCGCATACCTGTGCCGCCCTTAAGAAACGCATCGAAAGGGATGTGCAAACATCCTTGGATGAGGATAGTGTAAGTTGGGAATTTATTTTTGAGATAATTTTATTTGTATTTATTATTAATTTTAATTTGTTTATATCTATCTTCCAGACCAAACGTTTGCAATCTCTGGATATACCACCCGTTAGGGATTTTCAAGACTTGTGCGATGGCATTTGTTTGGCCCTGTTGATATCGTATTATTGTCCCAAAGTTTTGTCGTGGACAGAAGTGCGTATCAATTATTTGCCAGCCGTCGAAGATTCCATACACAATGTCCTGTTAGTAAGCAATTTTTCACAGAAATATCTGCCATACAATGTGTTCCATATGCTACCCGAAGATGTTACCTATATGAGGGGGTAAATATTAAAAGTTATTTATTTTATTTTTAATTTATTTGTTTATGTATACCCTACACCACCATACACAGGCAGAAGGAAAGAAGATTAAACCTAGGTTTGGATTTTTTTAAAAATCAGTTTTCAAAGACTAAATCTAGGCGTGGATTTTTTAAAAATACTTTTTTAAAGAAAAACCGAGGCGTGGATTTTTCAAAAATACTTTTTTAAAGAAAAAACCGAGGCGTGGATTTTTTAAAAATACTTTTTTAAAGAAAAACCGAGGCGTCGATTTTTTAAAAATATTTTTTTTAAGAAAAACCGAGGCGTGGATTTTTTAAAATTAATTTTTCAAGGACTAAACCGAGGCGTGGATTTTTTAAAATTAATTTTTTAAAGACTAAACCGAGGCGTGGATTTTTTAAAATTAATTTTTCAAAGACTAAACCGAGGCGTGGATTTTTTAAAATTAATTTTTCAAAGACTAAAACGAGGCGTGGATTTTTTAAAATTAATTTTTCAAAGACTAAACCGAGGCGTGGATATTTTAAAATTAATTTTTCAAGGACTAAACCGAGGCGTGGATTTTTTAAAATTAATTTTTTAAAGACTAAACCGAGGCGTGGATTTTTTAAAATTAATTTTTAAAAGACTAAATCGAGGCGTGGATTTTTTAAAATTAATTTTTCAAAGATTAAAACGAGGCGTGGATTTTTTAAAATTAATTTTTAAAAGACTAAACCGAAGCGTGGATTTTATAAAATTAATTTTTAAAAGACTAAACCGAGGCGTGGATTTTTTAAAATTAATTTTTAAATAATAAACCGAGGCGTGGATTTTTTAAAATTAATTTTTAAAGACTAAACCAAGGCGTGAATTTTTTAAAATTAATTTTTCAAAGACTAAACCAAGGCGTGAATTTTTTAAAATTAATTTTTAAAAGACTAAACCAAGGCGTGAATTTTTTAAAATTAATTTTTCAAAGACTAAACCAAGGCGTGAATTTTTTATACTATTCACCACACTGTGGTACTGGGTATTATGTCATTGTGCATGTGTTTGTAAAAGACAAAAGGAATATAGATGGACCCATTGTTCCTTTTGAGAATATGCATAGAATCACTTTTTCAGTCGATTTATGCATGTACGTCCGTCTGTCCATGTTAAATTGTAAACAAAGTACAGGTCGCATTTTTGATTCGAATTGGATGAAATTTGACACAACTAATTTATTTGGCCCAAGGACGAACCCTATTGAAATTTGGAAAAATCGGTTCAGATTTAAATATAGCTCCCATATATATTTTCGTCCGATTTTTTGTAAATGGTGCACCAAAGTCCCTATATATCTTTCGATTTGGACGACATTTGGCAATGAGTACTGAATTGAGTCTGGAATGATATGTGCTGAGTTTCGTGAATATCGTTCCAGAATTATATATAGCTCCCATATATATTTTCTTCCGATTTTGTGTAAATGGTGCTGCAAAGTCCCTATATATCTTTCGATTTGCACGAAATTTGGCATAGCGTACTGAATAAAGTCTAGAAAGATGTGTGTTAAATTTCGTGAAAATCGGTTCAGATTTAGATATAGCTCCCATATATATTTTCGTCCGATTTTATGTAAATGGTGCAGCAAAGTCCCTATATATCTTTCGATTTGCATAAAATTTGGCATAACGTACTGAATTGAGCCTAGAGTGATGTCTTCTAATTTTCGTCAAAATCGGTTCAGATTTAGATATGGCTCCCATATTTATATTCGTCCGATTTAAAGTAAATGGTGCAGCAAAGTCCCTATATATCTTTCGATTTGCAGGAAATTTGGCATGTAGTACTGAATTAAGTCTAGAAAGATGTGTGCTGAATTTCGTGAAAGTCAGTTCAGATTTAGATATAGCTCACATATATATGTTCGTCCGATTTTAGGTAAATAGTGCACTAAAGTCCCTATATATCCTTCGATATATAGAACTTTCTTGTATATAACCAAAGAGTTGGTGTAGGGTGTATCATAATCGAATTTATTTCTTTCATTACCAATTAATTAATTTTGTAATTTTTCTTTCTCTCTCCCTCCTTCTAGCTCAATGAAATTAAATTTACTAATCTTATTGGCTGACCTCTTCAATCTATTTGAAATCCATCCGGCCAATTGTGTTAGTTATCCTGGCATGGATTCAGCTGGTATGTTTAACTTTTAATTTTTATTATCATAAATTAGTTTTTCTTTTTTTGTTTTTTTTTTCGTGGGTTTACTTTTGGTTTTTCATTCTTCTGTTATTGTTTTACGTCTCTTTGCTATCTTTTATTTATTATTTTCTTTTTCTGCTTTCATAAACAAAAACGAAAAAACAAATTTTGTTATATAGAAGAAAATGGTAACAATGAAAAAGGTTTGTTTTGTCTCTCTGACCATTTTTTATGGATTCAGTTGTTGTTCACTACAATTTTTGTTTTATAAGTTTGTGTTTTTGTTTTCCTTACAACCACAACAACACCCACCAAAATACTCTAACGAAAAATCAAATAAATTCAAAGAAAGCCAGCACCTTGTTTTTGTACAAAAAATCCTTTAGAGGAGCTTTTATCCAATCAAAAAATAAAATAAATGCAGGAATTAATTTAAAACCATTGTGGCATTGTATTCCCCCTATATTTGGTTGTGGGCTACTACCATCATCATTTGTTTTTGTCCTTTATTTTTTTAAATTATTATTAAGCCTCGCCTAATGTATATTGCAAAACTAAAGAAACACACACACACGTACAACCATACCAAACCAAAACAAACAACACATTTCTTTTGATGACAAAAGAAAAATACAAAAACAAAACTAACCCCCTAAGCTAAGTCTAAAAAACAACATCTTTTGTGGTTGTCAAACAGGTATTTCTAAGAAGAAGAAGAATTAATTCAACCGTCTATTCATTCAAAATTTAGAGATGACGTTTTTTTGAAATCTTTAATTGTTTATTAATATCACGTATTCACGTTAGGAGCTAAATTTATAGTTAAAACAAAAGAAATCATGCCATGCATTTTTTTGATGGCTTGTGTAACGAAATGTCCTCCCCATAACCTTGCTTTTTTCTTGTTTTGTCTCTTTTGTCCTTTATTGTTTTTGTTCTCTTTTTTTGTTGTTGTTGTAGTCAAACAAACACTTGGTGTGTTTTGGTAGTGATAGTAAGGCCAACAAACAATAAACAGGAGTGATAATAGAATTTTCGTAGAATGGCTGAGGCATTTCCGGAAGTCTTTAAAAAAATGTTTTACTTACCGGATATTAAAACGAATTTTTTTACTTAGAAAATTTCCTTATCATTAATTACAGTTGCATATTTTATATAAGAAGTCATGGGATCTTTCTACTCTTTTTAATGAAGTAAAAAGCAACAGGTGGTAAAAGGTTCCGAATTTTTTAAATAAAAGTTTTTAGCTCCATAATAATAAAAATATTTTAAAGCTCTAAAAATAGGCGTAAATTTTTTAAAATATTTTTTGAAGCGTATTTTTTTTTTTAATATATTTTAATTCGTGGATTTTTTAAAATATTTGTTTAATGCGTGAATTTTTTTTTAAATATTTTTTTAAGGCGTGGATTTTTTTAAATATTTTTTTAAGCGGGATTTTTTAAAATATTTTTTTTAAGCGGGGCTTTTTAAAATATTTTTTTTAAGCGGGATTTTTTAAAATATTTTTTAAGGTGTGGATTTTTTACACTGTGGTACAGGGTATTATGTCTTTGTGCATATGCTTGTAACAGGCAAAAGGAAACGAGATAGACACATGGTTGCTTTTGAGAATATGCATAGAATCACTTTCTGGGTCGATTTATGCATGTCTATCTCCCTGTTCGTCCGTCCGTTCGTCTGACCGTCTGTTGATGTTAAATTGTAAACAAAGTGCAGGTCGCATTTATAATCCGAATTGGATGAAATTTGGCAGAGCTCATTTATTTGGCCCAAGGACGAACCCTATTGAAATTGGGAAAAATCGGTTCAGATTTAGATATAGCTTCCATATATATTTTCGTCCGATTTAATGTAAATGGTGCAACAAAGTCCCTATATATTATTCGATTTGCATAAAATTTGGCATAGGGTAGTGAATTGAGTCTGTAGTGATGTGTGTTAAATTTCGTGGAAATCGGTTCATATTTAAATATAGCTCCCATATATATTTTCGTCCGATTTAAGGTAAATGACGCACCAAAATCCCTATACATCTTTCGATTTGCACGGAATGTGGCATAGCGTACTTAATTAGGTCTAGAATGATGTGTGCCAGGTTTCGAGAAAATCGCTTCAGATTTAGATATAGCTCCCATATATATTTTCGTCCGATTTAATGTAAATGGTGCAACAAAGTCCCTATATAACTTTCGATTTGCACGAAATTTGGCACAACGTGCTGAATTGAGTGTAGAATGATGTGTGCTAAGTTTCGTGAAAATCGGTTCAGATTTAGATATAGCTCCCATATATATTTTCGTCCGATGTAATTTAAAAGGTGCACTAAAGTCCCTATATATCATTCGATTTGCACGAAATTTGGCACAACGTACTGAATTAAGCCTAGAATGATGTGTGCCAAGTTTCGTGGAAATCGCTTCAGATTTAGATATAGCTTTCATATATATGTTCATCTTATTTAAGGTAAATGGTGCACCAAAGTCATTATAAATCATTCGAGTTGCACGAAATTTGGCATAGCGTAATGAATTAGGTCTAGAATGATGTGTGCTAAGTTTCGTGGAAATCGGTTCAGATTTAGATATAGCTCCCATATATATTTTCGTCCGATTTAATGTAAATTGTGCACCAAAGTCCCTAAATATTTCTCGAGTTGCACGAAATTTGGCATAGCGTAGTGAATTGAGACTGGAAGATGTGTGTATATATAGATTCCATATCGTCCAATTAGAATTAAATGGTGCATTGACGTCATCATGTTTGTGACATAACATGACATAAAATTTTGCACAACGTACAAAATTCATCCAATTTCATGTTAATGGTCCTTCAAAAATGCCACGTCTCTTGGGATGCATCTGTTAAATATACCCATAGTGGTGAAGGGTATCATATAGTCGGCCCAGTCCGACTTTACTACTTTCCTAACTGGTTTAAAAATAATTTTTCAAAAGCCAAACCTAGGCGTGGTTCTTTTAAAATTAATTTTTCAAAGACAAAACATCAAGAAATTTTTTTGACAATAATTGGCCTTAACTACTTTTTGCCACCCGTGTGTTCTGATGACCCTATAACCCACCCATATTCATATTTTTTTGTTGTGTGTGATCAAATTATGTGTTTTTATGTCCCCGGGATCATGTTCCTCCAATCACGTGCTTAGGTTATTTATATTTATGTGTATGTATACGATGTGTTGTTTACTGTCTCATTGCCCTTGGTTTGGAATTTTATTTTCAAAATACATATTTTTGAACATGTTTTCTAAATGAAACATACAAACATAAATACATTTTGTATAGGTAATGTCCATAAATTAAAAACTAAAATTAAATACAACAAAAACAACAAAATTTGTTTAACAACTCTTTTTATATTAATCCTTAAATGTTTTTCTTTTTTACTTTCTTTCTCTTGCCGTTTCTGTTCGCTATTTCAAAAATAAAAAAATGATCGAAAAAATATGAAAACACAAAAATCTAAAAAAATAAAATCCAAAAACAAAAACAAAAAAATACACCCAGAACTCATCGCCAAACAAAATGCCGGTGCCAATGAACATGGAATATATCATCGTCGTGGTTTAACAATGCCAACAGTGATACCAATACCAGATCTAAGAAGTGAATTAGATCAACCTTCTAGCTCGCCATCAACACGACCTCAATTTCAAGGTCAATATTTACAAGAAATTTTTTAACAACAGAAAAAAATTGTTTACAATTTATACAAGAAAACTTTGAAAAAGTTTTTATTTTTTTAATGTGTTTGTGTTTATTTTTGTTTTGTTTATCGTTGTTTTTTTCTTATATACGAGTATATAATTTGTTTTGTTTATATAGTTGTGTTGCAAAAATTGTTATTTTTGTTAATTGTTTTTTTTTTCTTTATTTTTCTGTTATGTTTTTGGTTTGTTTTTCAATTAAGCGCCATACACAGCTTTTTTATAGTTGGCTGAAAATATATTTTTATTTTTGAATAGCCAAGCCGGTTCGCTCAATATAAGAACCAAATATTTTAATGGATTATTTTTTTCTATTATCTCATAGTCATCTCTTTTATTTTTGCATGCAATTTTTTACATTATTTCTTATCATTAGTTTTTTTTTATCTGCGTATGCTTAAATTGTAATACTTTGATATATTTTCTGAAATACAAGTCTTTAAAGATTAATTTTTGTTTAAAGAAAAATTTTTAAGTACCTTCTTTAAGTGTCAATTACAAAAAAAAATTGTTTTCAAATACTTTCCTAAGCGTGCATTTCTTAAAAAGTGCTTAGGTGGATTTTTTCAAAAATATTTTTTCAAGTACTTTCCTTAGGCGTGGATTTTTCAATTCAATTTTAATTCATTTCATATACGAGCCCAAAGGTCAAGATATGATGATTTTTTAAAATTTAATTTTCAAGCCATTTTCTTCGAATTTAATTTTTTTACATTAAATTTTCAGAGACTAAACCTAGGCTTAGGTTTTTTATACTCCCCTTCACCACACTGCGGTACAGGGTATTATGTCTTTGTGCATATGTTTGTAACAGGCAAAAGGAAACGAGATAGACACATGTTTCCTTTTGATAATATGCATAGGATCACTTTCTAAGTCGATTTACGCATGTCCGCCTGTCTGTCTGTCCATGTTAAATTGTAAACAAAGTACAGGTCGCATTTATGAACCGAATAGGATGAAATTTGGCATAGGTCACCTATTTGGCCCAAGGACGAACCCTATTGAAATTGGGAAAAATCGCTTCAGATTTAGATATAGATCCCATATATATTTTCTTCCGATTTAATGTAAATGGTGTACCAAACTTCCAATATTTTTCCGATTGAGACAATATTTTGCACAGAGTACTGAATTAGGTCTAGATTGATATATGCAAAGTTGTGTTGAAATCGGTTCAGATTTAGATATAGCTCCCATATATATTTTCGTCCGATTTAAGGTAAATGGAGCGCTAAACCCCTATATATCTTTCGATTTGCACGAAATATTGCATAGCGTACTGAATTGAGCCTGGGGTGATGTGTCCCAAGTTTCGTGAAAATCGGTTCAGATTTAGATATAGCTCCCATATATATTTTCATCCGATTTAAGGTAAATGGTGTACCAAAGTCATTATATATCTTTCGATTTGCACGAAATTTGGCATAACGTAATGAATTAGGTCTAGAATAATGCGTGCTAAGTTTCATGAAAATCGGTTCAGATTTAGATATAGCTCACATATATATTTTCGTTCGATTTAAGGTAAATGGTGCACCAAACTCCCAATATTTTTCTGATTAAGACAAAATTTTCCACGCAGTACTGAATTACGTCAGGATTGATGCCTGCGACGTTTTGTTAAAATCGGTTCAGGTTTAGATATAGCTCCCGTATATAGTTTCGGCCGATTTTATGTGAATGATGCACCAAACTCCCAATATTTGTCCGTTTGGGACAAAATTTTGCTCAGAGTACTGAATTAGGTCCAGACTGATGTCTGCGATGTTTGGTTAAAATCGGGTCAGATTTAGTAGTAGCTCCTATATATATTTTCATCCGATTTAAGGTAAATGGTGCGCCGAAGTCCCTACATATCTTTCGATTTGCACGAAATTTTGCATAGGGTACTGAATTGAGTCAAGCATGATGTGTGTCAAGTTTCGAGAAAATAGGTTCAGATTTCGATATAGCTCCCATATATAGTTTCGTCCGATTTTAGGTAAATGGTGCACTAAACACCCATAGCTAGGCCGATTGACACAACGTACTGAAATTAATATAACCCAACCTGTGACATGTTTCCTTGAAATCGGTTCAGATATAGATATAGCATTTAGAATAGGTGACAGAATGGCATGTGTTGGGAGTGTTGTCGGTTTACTTTTAGATAAAGATCGCATATTTAAGTTCGTTCAATTTCATGTCAATGTTCCTTCGAACAGGCGACGTCTATTAGGATTGCATCTGTTGAATATACCCAAAGTGGTGAAGGGAAGGGTATCATATAGTCGGCCAGTCCAACTTTACTACTTTCCTTACTGGTTTAAAATTAAAATTTTAAAAGACCTAGAACCTAGGCTTGGATTTTTATATCCTACACAACTATGTTGTCAGGGTATTACAGCTTTGTGCAGCCCCAAGAGTTTGTAACGCCGCGTAATATTGGTCCTAGACCCATCTTTGTCGGTTTTTCTGGTCGCTCCAGAGGCCGCAATTATGGCGAAAATATAGCATCTGGACAAGTAATTAGCAGGGATGTACTGAATATTGGGAATATTCGGATAATACATCAGTGTAAGGAAGAGGTGCTATTGATCTCTAATCGGTCAAGAAGTTGCAAATATCACAAAATATTGCCCAGACTCGATGAAAACGTCCGCAGAAAGTTAGAGTTCCGTGGTAGTTGTGTAGTTGAAATTAATTTTTTTGGCAAAGAAAATTAAAAATTTATTTTTAGAAATATGTTTTCAATTTACTATTAATAGATATTTATTAAATATCTATTACAAGATTTTGCCTCACTAGAACTTTAAAACAGTGATCGATCTTATCGTTGAAATGTAAATAAAATGATTGTAAAATTTTGCATTTTTGCATACGCAGAGTTTTATTTTTCAATATTTTTTACATTTAATATTCAAATCACATTGCTGAGTTCAATTGTTTTTTTTTTACAAAACATTCTTTTTAAATCATTGTTGTTTCATTACGACGCCAACCAACTAAAAATATATCAACCATAGACAACCACTTTACCTACCACCACCACCCTTTCCCCCTTCTACATACATACATATATCGTTCATTGCAAATACATAATCATTATCCAGCGTAAGCATTCGTTGTTGTTGCCCCACCTTTTAGCAAAATTGTAAAAAAATGTAGTTAAGCCATAAAAAGCCAAGTAATAGCAGCAGCAGCAACAGTTGCCGCAGCTTTTTTTGTTTATAAGTTAATAACTTTGTTAAATGCCACAACCAACCATCCAGCCAGCCAACTTAGCCATTACTACTGCCCACATTCCATCAATTCATTCATTCATTTACTCAGTTCATTTCATATATTTACATAGACGATTTATCTTTGCCGCCTCGCCCTTCTCTACCCCCTCTACACATTTAAATGCATAGTTTTTGTTGTTGACCATCACCACCCCACACTCATTCACTCACTCACTCAACACCATCATCACTCATCTAATTCCATTTGAATTTTTAAATTTTTTTTTTATTTGTTTTTATTTTTTTTTTAATTTTTTTTAATTTTTGTATTGATATTTATTGCTTTCAAATAGCCACCTTTTTTCTTAGTAATTACAAATATATGTCCTTTATTTATTACAAAATTAAAAAAAAAAAACAAACAAAAAATATTACAAAACATATTTATCAACAACATCTGTGTGTGTTTCTTTAACCCAAAGCTTTTTTTAAATAAAAAAATATATATCTACATATAACTTTAAATTATATTTCAAAGAAAATTTTGAAATTGTGCTTTTAGTTTTTATTTCTACAACTTGGTAATTGATTGATTGGCTAAAAAAATAAATAATCTTGACAAATTTAACACACCAAAAAATGCACCAAAACACTCACTCTCTCTCTCTCTCTCACACACACACTCTTAAGGAAACACACCATGTCACACGCGACACATTCTTTTATGTTTACTTCACACCTGCCGCCGCCCACTGCCACCACCAACACCTTGTACAGCTGATATCTGTCTTGTTCTTGTTTATTTTTGTTTTCCTTCTTTTCTCTAACCCCAAAAAATTGAAAATATTAAATTTTGATTTTTTTAATATTATTATTTGATATTCTTTTAGTATCGTATACAAATTCGGCGAGTGGCTTTATCCATAAACCTGCTGCATCTGTCCACCATCACCAACAACAACAACTACAGCATCAACATCAATTACAACAAACACAACACCCATCACCACAACAAATCCACGATCCCCATAATATGGCCGAAAATACTCATTTCGAAAATGAAGGTAAATTTTGGATTTTGATTTTTTTATTTAATTTTTAATTGAAAATAAATTAATTTTTTTTAAGTTTTCGTTTTGTCCTAGGATAGACTTAAAAGTTTGAAAAAAAGGATGTACAAAGGTTCGGTGGAATTACAAGCATTTTCAAGGATTCGAGGAAAATTTTAAAGTAGAGATCATTTTGAAATATTTTTAATTCAAAATTAACTTTTCAAAGACTAAACCTAGGCGAGGTTTTTTTTTAGAATTAATACTTTCCCTAGGCGTAGATTTTTTAAAATTAAATTTTCAAAGACTATATCTAGGCGCGGATTATTTAAATTTAAACTTTCAAAGACTGAAACTAGGCGCGGATTTTTTAAAATTACATTTTCAAAGACTATATCTAGGCGCGGATTTTTTAGAGTTAAATTTTAAAAGCCTGAAACGAGGCGCGGATTTTTTAAAAATCAATTTTTAAAAACTAAAGCTAGGCGTGGATTTTTTTAAATGATTAGAACCAAGCGAACATTTTTTTTTTAAATTAGTTTTTTAAAATTTTTTTTTAAATATTTTTATGCCCTTCACCACACTGTGGTACAGGGTATTATGTCTTTGTGCATATGTTTGTTCATTTTGAGAATATGCATAGAATCACTTTCTGAGTCGATTTATGCATGTCCTTCCGTCCGTCTGTCCATCCGTCTGTTGATGTTAAATTGTAAACAAAGTACAGGTCGAATTTTATGAAATTTGGTTCAGGTCATTCATTTGGCCCTAGGAAGAACCCAATTGAAATTGGGAAAAATCGGTTCAGATTTAGATATAGCTTCTATATATATTTTCGTCCGATTAATTGTAAATGGTGCAACAAAGTCCCTATATATCATTCGATTTACACGAAATTTTGTATAGCCTACTGAATTAAGTGTAGAATGATGTTTGCGGAGTTTCGTGAAAATCGGTTCAGATTTAGATATAGCTTCTATATATATTTTCGTCCGATTAATTGTAAATGGTGCAACAAAGTCCCTATATATCATTCGATTTACACGAAATTTTGTATAGCCTACTGAATTAAGTGCAGAATGATGTTTGCGGAGTTTCGTGAAAACGGTTCAGATTTAGATATAGTTTCCATATATAGTTTCGCCCGATTTTAGGTAAATGGTGCACCAAAGTCCCTGAAAATCATTCGATTTGCACGAACTTGGGCATAGCGTACTGAATTGAGTCCATAATGATGTGTGTTAAATTTTGTAGAAATCGGTTCAGATTTAGATATAGCTCCCATGTATATTTTCGTCCGATTTAAGGTAATTGGTGCACCAAAGTCCCTATATATCTTTCGATATACACGAAATTTGGCATAGCGTAATGCATTAGGTCAAGAGTAATGTATGTATGGTTTCCTGAAAGTTGGTCCAAATTTAGATATAGCTCCCATATATATTTTCGTCCGATTTAAGGTAAATGGTGCACCAAAGTCCCTGAAAATCATTCGATTTGCACGAATTTCAGCGTACTGAATTGAGTCTAAAATGACGTGTGCTAAGTTTCGTGAAAATCGTTTCAGCTGCCATATATAGTTTCGCCCGATTTTAGGTAAATGGTGCACCAAAGTCCCTGAAAATCATTCGATTTGCACGAATTTTGGTACGAATTTTGCACGAATTTCGGTATAGCCTACTGTATTAAGTCTAGAATGATGTGTGCTAAGTTTCGTGAAAATCGGTTCAGATTTAGATATAGCTCCCATATATGAAGGACTACGCCTATGATGATCAGATTATAATTTTTGGATGAAGTGGACCAACGACTTATTTTTTTGATTTTTTTCGAGTCGAGTCGATAGGCCACAATTATAAGCCCGAACATCACAACACAACCCACGGTGAAGGGAATATGGATAAGTAATTAGTAATATTCGGAAAATAAGTCAGTGTAAGGAAGAGGTGCATTTGACCTCTATTCGGGCAAGCGGGGGCAACAATCCCGATATATTGCCCAGGCTCGGAATAAAAATCCGCAGAAAGGTAGAGTTCCGTGGCAGTTGTGTAGGGTATCGTATGGTCGGCCCCGTCCGACTATACTGCTCTGCTCACTGGTTTAAAATTAATTTTTCAAAGACTAAAATAAATTTTTTTCCGGATGAAAAAAGGCGGGAATTTTTCAATGACTAAGCCTAGGCGAGAATTTAAAAAAAAAACCAAATCCAAGACTAGACCCAACGGATAGATTTTTGAAAATATTTTTTAAGGAAGAAATCTAGGCGGGGATTTTTTGAAATGTTTTTTTTTATGTAGGGAAGAAATATAGGCATGAATTTTTTAAATTATTTTTTTAGGGAAGAAAAATTGGTATGGATCTACCACAAATAATTAATAACGGTATAGTTTTCCTATAATATTACTTTCAATTTGTGAAATCTTCAGATTTTTTGACACATTTTTTAAGCGTATTTAATAGGACCCAAAAATTATTGTTTAAATTATCAAAAAATTTCAATGCAACTATTTCTTTCTCAATAGAGGTCCCCTCAGATTTTGCCCTTTGAACTATTGGTTAAAGTTTTCGCCGAACATCTGTTGTCAAAGGAACGAAACTTTGTCATCCATGAAACTTTTAAGACTACCCACCATAATCACCATAATTCATATTACAATTATTAAGTTTATTTTTAGATAGTTCGTATTTATTATTATTTTTGTTTATTTTGTATTACATTTCCAATCATCGCCATTACCACCACCACCCCACCAATATTATTTTTACGTTTCCAACTTCGTTTTTCATTTCGTTTTATTTTTTTCTTCTTCTTTTCAATCATTTAGCATTTGTTGTGCACAAATCACGTGGTGTTACCACATTATCTACCATGCATATGCAACAGCAACAGCAGGATCCACTAATGCCCGCCCGCTTAAGACAAGCAAAAGAGAAGTCAAACACCGAAACGAAGGCCGATGAAAGAGGTTTGTTATTCAATGAAAAAAAAAGAAACTTAACACGCTTTTCACAGCTACACACGTCATCATCCTTACAACAACAAAACATTTATTTGTTGTGTGTCCTTTTTTTTGATATGCTAATCAATCATTTACTTGAAAACCCAATGTTGTTGTTTTTTTTTTAGTTTGCTTTTTTTTTACTGAGAATGTGTAAAGATATTCAATATTTGTTACTTTCGGATTTTTTTTAGGCATAACGGATCTTGTTTTAGTGAATATTATACTAATATTTGTTTTTATACATTTTTCAGGTGATAATGTTCCAGCCGGCAGGCCCAGCAATTGGGATCAGCATCGTCGACCCAGTTATGCAGGTTGGATGATTTTGATTTCCTTCCCTCCTTAAATTTTTATTGTTTTCCTTCCCTTGTCTTTCCAGGTCGCCGCTCCCGTCGCAATTCTTCCAGTGAAGACTCACAACTGACAATTGAAAATTTCGGTGGTTCCCAGGATCAACTGAATGCAATTGATCGTTTCGATAGGGGTGATCGTGACCGGGAAAGGAAATTATCCAATACCACAATTGGTAGGTCAATTTCTTTTCATTCTAGATTTTTTTTTATTAATTTTTAATTTTTTCTTTTAGAACATGTGGTGCCCATCCGTTCTTCCATAGCCGATGCCCGTGGCACCTTACAGCTGGGCTATGACACCGATTCCGGTTCGGAAAAGCAAGATCATGATACCGAAAAACAACAGCCTCTTAAAAGGCAACCAAGGTTGGTGTTTCGTTTTTTAGGATATGAATTCAATTTTTGAAAATATTCTTCTTCACTTTTTAGCTGTGACAATGTTAGTCTTGCTGCCAAAAATAACGGCACCCTATCGCATGCCAATAGTGCCACAAATGTGCCACAGCAACAACAACTGCAACAACAACAGCAGAAACAACATTCGAATAGCCCAGAAATGATGGATGAACCCCGAGAAAGCCGGGATCCAAATGCCACACTAACCCGAAAATCCTCCAATGCCAGCATGCACATGATGAAACCCCAACAGAATTGGCAAAATAATGCAAATGGTAAGTGAAAAATTTAAAATGAGAGATTTACGAAACTTCACTAGGCCAGATGGAGGAAATTTTTAATAAGAGAACGTCAGAGAGACTCACAGGGAGTTCTGTAGACGATTTGGGGTTCAGGGTGTATTTATAGGCGTGCTGAAACCAGGAAGCCTTTATAGACAAGGTGAAGCCCAGGGAGTATTTCATAGAAGAGCTGACGCGAGGTAGGCGAACTGAAGGGACTCTATTTTTATAGACTAGCTGTAGGGAGTCTTTTTTTATAGACGAGCTGTCGAGAATCTTTTTTTATAAACGAGCTGAAAGGAGTCGAGTTGAAGGGAGTCTTTTTTATAGAAGAGCTGAAGAGAGTCGAGTTGAAGGCAGTCTTTTTTACAGGTGAGCTGTAAGCAGTCTTTTTATAGACGAGCAGCAGAGAGTCTTTTTTATAAACGAGCTGAAAGGAGCCGAGTTGAAGGGAGTCCTTTTTTACAGAAGAGCTGTAGGGAGTCTTTTGTTTATAGACGAGCTGAAAGGAAGTCTTTTTTTATAGACGAACTAAAGGAGTCTTTTTTTATAGACGAGCTGAAGCGAATCTTTTATAGGCGAGCTGATGTGAGCCTTTATAGGCGAGCTGATGTGAGCCTTTATAGGCGAGCTGATGGGAGCCTTTATAAGCGAGCTGATGGTAGCCTTTATAGGCGAGCATTTCATAAACGAGCCAGGGAGCTTTTCGTAGACGAGCTGAAGTTCAGGGAGTATTTCATAGAAGAGCTGACACGAGCTAGGCGAACTGAAGGGAGTGTATTTTTATAGACGAGCTGTGGGGAGTTTTTTTATAGACGAGCTGAAGGAAGTCTTTTTTTATAGGCAAACTAATAGTACGTTTACATTTAACCAGATTTCGTTAACCCAGTGGGTTTCAATTGTCATTTCCTTTGCATATATGTCAAATAAATCCTCATAAAGTAGGTTAACCCGGTAAAAAAGTTCTAATGTACAAGGAGTTTAAAGGAGCCTTTTTTATAGACGAGCTGAAGGGAATCTTTTATAGACGAGCTGATGGGAGCCTTTATATGCGAGCTGATGGGAGCCTTTATTGGCCAGATTAACTGGGTTTTTATTTATTTCATCAGATAATACTAAAGCCTCCAAGGCCAATGATAGAGCCAACTGATAGAGCCTTTGTAGGCGAGTATGTAGGACAGCTAAAGGGAGCCTTGAGAGCATTTATAGCCCAATATGTTCTATGTTTTGAGCGATTTTTTTTCTGAAAATCGAACTCCAATTTTTCTTGACATAATTCCCATTATTTTTTCTTAATATTACACAGATCTTTATGATGACGATACACGATCCATGGATAGTGCCTATAAACTATCAAATATACGCATGAAATTGGAAGAACGTCGTCGTATGATTGAGCAGGATAAAAGGCGTATCGAAATGGCTTTGAATCGTTATCAGGGAAAGGTAATTATCAAATACCATTCCCCAAAAGAATATAATTTTATTTAAATTAACTTTTTCTTCTTCTCGATTTCCAGCTTAATCAAGATGACTTAATGGCCGATGATTATCAAAAATGGGAAACAATGAGCAATGATTCGAAACGTACATCCGATATTGATCCTATGGAGTTGGATAAATATCAAGTGAGTAAAATGTTTTGATATGGGGTTTGTGGGTACAATTAGTATGGTATGGTATTTGGAAGAGGTAGTTGTACTAACAGTAATTCACAGCACTGGTATCTAAAATATTCGAAAAGCTCGCTCACTCACTGTACTAACAAAATCGAGACCTTGTGAATTTAATATCCCAACGAATATTGTTTTGTATAAACGTAAAAGTAGTTGTGTTGAAATTCTGTAGTTGGAAAAGTAGAACAAATTTGAGAACTATATTAAAAAACAAAGAACGGAAGATGAAGTCGTTATAGTCCAGCTGAAGGAAGTCTTTATAGATTGGCTGAAGGAAGACTTTGTAGATTAGCTGAAGTGTGTCCTTGTAGCTGAAGGGAGTATTTATAGATTATCTAAAAGGGGTTTTTATCGACGAGCTGAAGGGAGTATTTAAATGTGAGCTGAAGGGATTCTTTATTGACCAAATGAAGGATGTATTTACAGAGTTTTTTATAGGTGATCTGCAGAAGTCTTTATAAACCACATAAAGGTGGTCTTTATAGGTGGTCTGAAGGAGTCTTTATGGACAATATAAGGGCAGTATTTATAGGCGTGGTGATGGGAGTCACAAGACGACCTAAAGTGAGTATTTATAGAAAAGCTGAAGGCAGTATTTATAGACGAGCAGAAGGGAATCTTTATAGTAATGAGGAAGAGTTTACGTGGACAACCTAAAGGGAGTCTTTGTAGATGTGCCGAAGAGAGTTATTACTGACGAGGGTGGAGTCTTTTTGACAAGAAGAAGGTAGTCTTTACGGACGATTCGAAGGATGTCTTTATAGACGAGCAGAAGGTCGTCTTTATAGACGAGCCGAAGGGAGTCTTTATAGACGAGCAGAAGGGAGTCTTTATAGACGAGCAGAAGGGAGTCTTTATAGACGAGCAGAAGGGAGTCTTTACAAGCGAGTTGAAGGTAGTCTTCATAGATGAGATGAAGTGAGTCTTTATGGAGGCGAGGCTTTATAGACAAGCTATAGGCAATCTTTAGGACGACCGATAGTATGTCTTATAGACGAGCTAGAGGGAGTCTTCATAGACGAACAATGGGCAATAATTAGGACAATCGAGATTATGTCTTTATAGAGCAGGAGGGAGTGTTTATAAAAGAGCGAGATGGAGTCTCTCTGAACGTGCTGAATGGTCTTTATAGTATTTTGTATTTATAGACGAGCATTGGAGGTTGATTTTTTATAAATGTGCTAATGGGAAGAAAGGCAGTTTTATGTGGACAAATATTTCTTGTATTTCTATAGACCTTCATAAAATATTATATTTGAAACATTAATTAATTTTTCAAAAGTTTATTTAATTGTGTGTGTGTTGTTTCTATCATATTTTTGTGTATATCCTTTTGTTGTTGTATTGTAACATTTGTGTGCATTTAAATTTACAAAACAATCTCCCTCACCATTTCTTTTCCTACGAATCTATGTTTTTTTTTTTTTTAAATCTGTGTCCCCACCCAACATCAACATCATGTTTGTTTTTGCATCGTATCGCATCATGAATAACACGCAGCAAAGCATCGCTATTATGAACATGAATCTGCAAGATATTCAACAAGATATACAAAGGCTAGCGACACAACAAAATCAAATACAGGCCCAACAAATGCAAGCGCAACAGTTGCTGCAGGCTCAACAGATTGCCAATATGTTGAATCAGGTAACGAAGAAAAATCAAAAAACTCAATAAAAATCATGCACACATACACCACTCAGCACCCAGAAAATAAAAACAATTTTTCTTAAATAAAAAAAGACAAATTTCAGCACCCAGAAAAAAAAAATTTTTTTAAATAAAAAAACGACAAATTTCTCTAAAACAAAATACATTTTCATTCCTTTCCAAAAAAACATGTCTTGTTTACGTTTATGTTTCAATACTTTGTTCCACATCTCAAATACACAACACATTTCATTTATTTCCAAAACTTTTTGTTTATTACTTAATTTTTTTTGTCTCCCATAAAAATAAACTAAAATCAAGCTTTAACTAAATCCATGCTTTTGTCAGCGCCTAAAATTATGCTTTGAATTTTTAAATATTTAAATTAATAATGTTCTTTTCTTTTCTCTCTCTCTCAGCAACACTCAAATTTTGGTTCACAACAACATTTAGCCGATCCATATCCACCACGCCCCCTACAACAACAACAAAACTTTGGCTCTTCACCACATTTGCCGCAATCGTTTAACAGTTCCGTCAATAATCCCTATGGTTCGCGGCCACCCAGCCGTGATCCCTACCAACAAATGCAAACAATGCCGGTACAGTACATGAACGATAGCACACCACCCTACAATATGTACGGTCAGCCGCAACAACAATCATCGATGGTGCCACCACAGTCCCAATATAATACCATGCATACGACGTCACACTACAATGACAACAATGTCGTGCCTTACAACAACAGCAGCAGCAACAACAGTAATCACAATTATGGACAACCACAGTCACATCATCCACCCCCACAATCACACCAACAACCATACATTCCACGTCAAAGTATTTACGATGATTATGCACCACCGCCACCACAATCGATGCTTGGTCGTGAACCGAATATGTCACCACAGCCGAATAATTATTATGGTGGCCACGAGGCGCCACCACCCCAACAGGTATATGCTGCTCCGCCACCCACCCAGCGAAGGACATGGGCCCAGCCCTCCTTTGATGTGATGCAGCCGCAGCAAATGGTCGATGTTAATGCCTGGCAAAGACGTTCCCAAAAATCCGAAGATGGCCCAAGCTGGGGTAGTCCCCAACAGGATAATCACATGCCACCGGCACATCATCGTTCGTCTATACATCAAAATGGTGACAGCCAACAGCATATGCAAATGTATCCTGTGCACTCCTCGCCCGTACACAGTCAACGCGGCGGTGGTGGTGGAGTACAACGTCAACAATCCATGACCAATTTGAGAGAGACTCGTTCACCGATTATTGTTCCCAAGGCTTCGTCGGCACCCACACCACCCGATGATGTTATGGCACCACAGAGTATTTGTTTCATTGGCGATGAGGATGACATAGATGAGATTGAGCGGAATGTCATTGAGAAAATGCAAAGTACGGGGCTGTCGGAATACAGCTTCCCAATACACCACCACAATAGTTCCCAACATCAGCAGCAGCAACAACAGCAATACTATCAACGTGATGAACAATATAACTATGATGACTATGGTGGTGGTGGCAGCAGTAGTGGTGGCCATTCCGCCGATATGATGCCACAAAAACTCAATATAACCAGTGGAAATCTCACATATAGGATTCCCTCGCCACAACGTCCACAACTCCATCCAAATAGCTTCCAGGTAAGACTATTTAAATCCCAATTATAAATATTATTTTTAAATTAATTTTCTTTCCCTTTCTTCCCCTTCAGGACCCCCGTTCGGCTGAGAAAAACAACAGCACTGCCGAAAAGGGTTTCTACATCTCCTTCGATGATGATCAACCCAAACGACCCAAACCTCCATTACGCGCCAAACGTTCACCCAAAAAAGAGAAAAGTCTCGACAGTGTGGATCATCAAATCCTCAATAATGCCGCGGACTCGAGCAAAGATTTCCATGACACCTCCTTTAACAGTAAGGAGGTGCATGAACCGAAATTTAAACCCAAAGTCCATCAGCTTAACTATAGTGAAAGTAATAGCCCCAAGTCCACAACATCTATGGATATTAATAAGGCCACATATAACAAATATACCGACAGTCCCATACAATTAAGTCAGGTTATGTCCGCCGGGGACAATAAAAACTTTACGTCTTCGTCATCACACAACAACAATAATCATAATAATCAACCACAAACTCCTCCGCCGTCAGTTGCTTCCACATCGCCCACACATGTTGTGAGCAGTAGCAGCAGTAGTCAACCCTTAGAGAATAAATCCACAAAAAGCAAAGCTTTAATTATAGATGCTGCCAATTTGGATCCGGTAAGTTAAAAATTTCACACCCTACTTCTATGAAAGAAATTTTTATTTTAAAAAATGGGTTTCACCTTTAGGAATCTGTGGATGAAATGGAACGCCGCAAAGAGAAAATCATGTTATTATCTCTGCAACGTCGCCAACAACAAGAAGAGGCCAAACAACGCAAAGAGCAAGAGGCTGAACGCAAGCGTGAACTTGAACGTGAAAAGGAGGAGGAAAAGCAACGTAAAAAAGAAGAACAAATGGCTCGTAGAGCGGCAATTTTGGAACAGCATCGCCTCAAGAAGGCTCTCGAAGAGGCAGAACGGGAGGTGAGAAGATAAGCAAATATTGAGTCTTACAGGAATGAACAAGGGAGCTGAAGCTCAGGGAGTCTTTCATAGACGAGCTGAAGCTCAGGGAGTCTTTCATAGACGAGCTGAAGCTCAGGGAGTCTTTCATAGACGAGCTGAAGCTCAGGGAGTCTTTCATAGACGAGCTGAAGCTCAGAGAGTCTTTCATAGACGAGCTGAAGCTCAGGGAGTCTTTCATAGACGAGCTGAAGCTCAGGGAGTCTTTCATAGACGAGCTGAAGCTCAGAGAGTCTTTCATAGACGAGCTGAAGCTCAGGGAGTCTTTCATAGACGAGCTGAAGCTCAGGGAGTCTTTCATAGACGAGCTGAAGCTCAGGGAGTCTTTCATAGACGAGCTGAAGCTCAGGGAGTCTTTCATAGACGAGCTGAAGCTCAGAGAGTATTTCATAGACGAGCTGAAGCTCAGAGAGTATTTCATAGACGAGCTGAAGCTCAGGGAGTCTTTATAGACGATCTGAAGCTCAGGGAGTCTTTCAAAGATTTTGTAGACGGACTGAAGAGAGATTATTATGTCCTCCTGGTCCTCTACGAAGAAAATTTGTTATTTTAACCTCACAGGAGAAGAGCTTCGTGTCTTCTAAATAGATAACCTTCTGGTTTTCTATACTCGAGAAGGTCTTTTTGACTACGAAGAAGAGTTTTAGAACTTCGAATAATTAGAACTTTGGGTCTTCTGTGGAAATAACTTTGAACCAACCCCTTGGTATTCTCTATGAATACCTTCTGGTCTTCTATGGTGGTCCTCCATAAGAAGATAAAAAGTCTACTTATAGATTTCCAATATACTTTTGTCTATTCTCTGTACCAAATATCAATTTCATTTATTGTTTTCATTTTCTCTTCGCCAGGGTAAAACCCTCGATCGCAATGACATCGCCCTTAAGCCAAGCACACAAACGAATACAATATCGAGGACACGACAAAAGAGTACACGTCCTCGTCCCAAAACTATACATGTGGATGATGGTTCTGCCGTGGATATAAGTGAAGCTTCCAGTTTATCTAGTCGTGGTAAAAAGGGCTCCAGTTCGAATATTACAGGTAAGCAATAGAAGCTCTCAAAGCCAAAACTCATTTTTTTTGGAGAGCACACTCTCTCTGCAGAATAGTGAACATGTTCTATTGTGACTGACTTGTTTGATGTGTGTTTTATTCCTGTTAAAATTATTTTATTTTTCTTTTTAATTTTTTATTTTTATATTTTTTTGTTAAAAAAAAATTTCCTCGTTTTATTTTTTTCTGCATGCATCGTTATGAAACAAATACACTTTTGCTTTATTGAAAAAAACGAAACAACGTTCAAACCAAAAACCCAGGTTTAGGCCAATTAAGTTCGAACACAATGAGACGAGACTATTATCGAGGCTCACAAGATTCCCTTACAGTGAAAGGTAATTGTTTTTTTTTTATTATTTTTTTATTTTTATTATTTATTTTAAATGGGATTATAATAAAAAATATTTACTATAATTTATTATAACCCTATTTTGTTTGTATTTTTTATGTATTTTAAAAAGGTAGTTTTGTTTGATTTTGATTTGTTTAATATTTGGTTTAATAATGCATGCATAATTGTGTATTTATTTTATGTTTAGATAATGCAATTATATTTTTCTGTGTTATTTGAGATAAGGTAGATTATCTAGGATATGAATATAAACGATAAGGTGTTATGCTCGAAAGACCAAAGGAAATTTTTCATAGAGGACCTGAAGGTTTACCTGATAAAAAACCAAAAGGTATTCCTCATATGGGACCAGATGCACTTCTTCTTACAAAGCTAGAAAATCTTCTTCATAGACATCTTAATTGAAGACCTGAATCACTTCCTGATGGCCTTCTTTGCCTTTTATGGAGAAGACCTTTTATTAAGAACTACTTTAGGTCTTCTATGATAAAGACATTCTGGTACTATGAACTCACATTTTCTACATTTCATAGAGGACAATCTGACCTCCTATGAATAAGTTTTTCTGATCTTCTTTGAAGGCGACCTTCTGAAGGCCAAAATAAGTTTTTTCACAAACAATTAGAACTTCTTTCTCATAGAATACCTTTTGGTCTTTTACGACCAAAAGGAGTTCTTCAAAAGGTCTTCCTCATAGAAGGCCAGAAGGCTTTCTATGATATTTATCGTTGAAAATCCCAATTTAGAGTACCAGAAAGTCCTTTTGTTTGAAGACCTGAAAGACTTCCTCATAGAATTCCAGTTTGTTTGAATGTTCGGATAACATGTATAATAAATTGTCAAAGATCGGATAATGTGAATGAGACATATAACGTGTACGGATAACCCGAGTTATTGGCGTACCAGAAAATATTTTCGTTTGAAGACCTAAAAGACTTCCTTATAGAATTCCAGTTTGATTGAATGTTCGGATAATGAATCTACATTACTCGGTATCATAGATAATAAATTGATAAAGCTCGGATAATGTGGATAAGGCATATAAAGTGTTCGTATAGCCCGAATTATTATTAAATAATTGAGCGGATAATGTGTATAGCGCATCTACATTGCTCGGATAAAGACGGATGATACGGATAAAACATCTACAGTGTTCGGATAACATAGATAATAAATGTAAACCGGTCGGATAATGCGGATAATGAATCTAAATTGTTCGGATAATACCGAGAATGAACTTCAATTTAATGGATAAGTTCTATGATTAATTGATATGAGTCGGATAATGTACTTATGTTGTTTAGATAAGATAGATAATGGATTTACAAGGCTCGGATAAAGCGGATAATGCATTTACATGACTCAGATAATGTATCTATGTTGTTCGGATAATACCTATAAAAAATTTACATTGCATGGATAACGTCGATGTTGTATTCACATGGCTCAGATATACGATCAGTTATATGGCTCGGATAATACGGATAATGTATCTATGATGTTCGTATAATTGATTTTTATTATTTACATGGTTCGGATAATACGAATCATGAGTCTAGATTGCTTGGATAACATCAATAATGGCTCAGATAACGTGGGTATTTTTTTATTGCTTTGGTAAACGAAAAATGAATTTAAATGATTCGGATATCAAAGACAATGAATTACATCGCTCGGATAAAGCGCATAATGCATCTACATTATTCGGATGACGAGGATAATGCATTTACATGGCTCGGATAACACGAATACTGCATCTACGATGTTCGGATAATGAATTTTTATTATTTACGTGGTTCGGATAATAAGAACGATGAGTCTAGATGGTTTGGGTAACATCGAAATTTACTCGGATAACATGGATAATGTTTTTCCATTCCCGACAAATGCATTCGCATTGTTCGGACAACGTCAATAACGAATATACATCGCTCGGATAATCCGGATAATATATTTTCATGGCTTGGATAACGCGGATAATGTATCTACATAATTCGGATAACGAGGATAATGCAGCTACGAAGTTCGGATAATGGAATTTTATTTTTTAAGTGGTTCGGATAACATGGATAATGCATTCACATTATTCGGATAACGCGGATAATGCATTTACATGATTCGGATAACGAGAATAAGGCATTTACATGATTTGGAAAACGACAATAATGCACATACATGGCTCGGATAATGCGGATAATGCATTTACCTTGCTCGGATAACACGGATATTACTTGGATAAAACGGTTATAGATCTACAATGTTCGGATAACGCGGATAATTCATCTACACTATGCGAATAATCTTAATATTGATTTTACATTATTCAGATAGTATAAATAAGCTATCTACATTGTTTAGATAACACAGATAAATTATCTACAGTGTTTGGATAATTATCTACATTTTCTACAGTATTTGGATAATCTATCTACATTATCTAAATTGCTGCAATAACTTCGAAATGTCATCGACATTGCTTTGGATAATGTGAATAATCTTTATTTGTGGTTGAGATAACGCAGATAAACTATCTATAATATTCAGATAACACAGATAAATAATAATTGTGTATATTTTTATGTAAAATTTATTTTATTTTGTATTGGAATGAAATTTTTAGAGTTTTTGGAAACCCTTTCTGCTGCTGCATGCCCTTTCTTTTGTAGTTATTAGCTTCTAAGTATCCCTCCCAAGTATCTTCGGCTTCGAACTAACAATTTATTGCAAATAAATATATATATTTATTTATATATTTAAGTGTGTATGTGGTATTGATATATAAATTTCTCTTTTTAAAACTAGAATCACCGGATGAATACCCGAGTACTAGTTCAACACCGATTGGACGACGGGGATCGTATAAGTTATCTAAAGGTTGGTGGTGGGCTTTTAAATCAAGAAAAAAAAAGAAAACAAAAAAAATGCATTTACAAATATATATTTAGCTTCTATAAACATAACCTCAATCAATATATGGAATTATGATTTGTTATGATTTAATTTAACCCCCTCTCTATACTCCTTTGATGTTTGTTGGTTTCTTTCTAAGTTTTCTAAGTTCTCTTTACTTTATAAATTGAGTTTAACAAAAGAAAAAATAACACAATGCTTTAACCACTGGATCCCACTCCTCCTCCACCCACCCTTCCTTTTCCATTAATGTGCCACTGCAAGGAATTGCCTTTTTTGTTTTGATGTTGCAAGATAAAAGCGAATTTATTTAACACCAGGGTTAACCCAATACTAATTGCTTACTTACTTTCGAAAGGGGCCGAGGGACCCACCTCGACCCTATAGCGCACACACACTGCAAAAAAAAAGAAAAAAATTACGCCTATTTGCCCATGATTTTGCGCATGCTTCTTCTTATTTAATTTTTTTTGAATATTACTCCACCCCTTCGTTCGTGAGTTCGTTCGTTTGTTCGTTCCCATATTCAATTTATTTTTGCATTACTAATAAAAAAATAAAACAATTTTTATCACAACAATTACCAACCGGGTTTTGAGGTTTGAATTTGAAAATAAAATTACTGGTATTTAAGGTTCATATTTTCAGGTTCTATATATTTTTCAACAACTTCCTTCAAGTTTCTAATCTTGAGGTTTTGGGCTTGTTCTTCTCCTATATATAATTAAAATAAAAAAAATATTTTTTTTTATTTTTCAATTTTTTATCAAAAGGTTCAAGGTTTTATTTTATAATCAATCATAAGTATTTTATTATATATTTTATTTTATTCCAAAATTCTTATCAAACATACTTCCTTAAAAAAATATATACTCTATAATCCAAACAAAATCAAATTATTTTCAAAAAAAATCATCACCAAAAAATCTAAAAAAAATTACTACTATTTTAAAAAAAATATGGGAATTTTTCCAGAACCAAATGTCGAACGAGGTCGTACTCTATCACGTATATCTGTAGCCAAAGGAAGTACACTAAATTTCCGTGGGCGAAAATCAAATTCGCTTATGAACCTGTGCGGTAAGAGTTTCTTGTCACCATTATTTCTTGTTTTTTTCTATATTATTATTATACCCTCCCTCTCTCTCGATTTATGTGTTTTCATTTTACGTTACATATTATATATTTATATGAGTATAATTCATTCCATAATAATTGTTTTCATTTATTTTGTTTTGGGTTTTGGGAAGAGAATTCTTATTTAATATTGGTTTTGAATTATTTTTAAATATTTTTAAATATTTTTTTATATATGGCTTGGTTATTTAAATATTTATTTTTTTATTTATTAATTATTTTTATATATAAGTTCATTTTTTAATATTTTTGTGTTCCTCTCGGCACTTCATATATGCATTGAAAATAAAATCTCACCCCAGCCACACACACACAATGGAAACTTTTTCATTACCTACACATTTTAAGAAGCACCACAGCTAATAATTTAAATACTACATAAATACTCAATATTGTTAATAATTATAATAACTTAATGTCATAAAAAATATTTGTTAATAATTATAATTATGGTTTAGAAATATTATTAACATAAGAAGGGAATTTTTGTTTTATCGTATTTGAAAATCCTAAAATTTCCTCGAATTTTAAGAACCAACAAGGCCTGGGGTAAAACAAAAATAACTTCAAAGGTCTGGAGCTTTTGAAATAATATTTTTTTTCGAATTTGGAAATATTCCCCATTAATAAATGAGGATCAATAAGGCCTGGATTTAAAAAAAAAAATCAAGGTTTTGATTTAAAAAAAAATATATTTTCATATTCATATTAGTATTTTAAATTTCCCAGGAATTTTGTTCCAAACAAGGTTGCTATAATTGGTCATTTCATGTTTAAAAAAACTTCCTCGCTGAAAAAATTGATCCTTTTGGTATCCATGATTCTTGGAGGTTTAGATACCTTCTGACCGATAATATAGATCATAAGCCTTCATAGATTCTAATTGGGCTGTATAGAGACCAAAGGTCTGTTTAAATACCCATTGGTTGGTATAGAGTCTTTATAAAGACGAATTGGTCTGTATAAAGACTACAGATCTTTATAAAGACCATTTGGTCGGTATAAAGACCTCAGGCCTTTATAAAGACCAATTGGTCGGTATAGAGACCAACTGGTCTTCATACAGGCCAATAGAGACCAAAGGTCTCTATACAGGCCAATAGAGACTAAAGGTCTCCATACAGGCCAATTGGGCTGTATAGAGACCAAAGGTCTTCCATACGGCCAATTGGGCTGTATAGAGACCAAAGGTCTTCTTCATACAGGCCAATTGGGCTGTATAGAGACCAAAGGTCTTCTTCATACAGGCCAATTGGGCTGTATAGAGACCAAAGGTCTTCTTCATACAGGCCAATTGGGCTGTATAGAGACCAAAGGTCTTCATCTCGGCCAATTGGGCTGTACAGAGACCAAAGGTCTTCTTCATACAGGCCAATTGGGCTGTATAGAGACCAAAGGTCTTCTTCATACAGACCAATTGGGCTGTATTGAGACCAAAGGTCTTCATACAGACCAATTGGGCTGTATTGAGACCAAAGGTCTTCATACAGACCAATTGGGCTGTATTGAGACCAAAGGTCTTCATACAGGCCAATTGGGCTGTATTGAGACCAAAGGTCTTCATACAGGCCAATTGGGCTGTATTGAGACCAAAGGTCTTCATAAAGCCAATTGGGCTGTAATGAAACCAAAAGTTTTCATACAGGCCAATCGGGCTGTATTGAGACCAAAGGTCTTCATACAGGTCAATTGGGCTGCATTAAGACCAAATGTCTTCATACAGGCCAATTGGGCTGTATAGGGACTAAAGGTCCTCATACATGCCAATTGAGCTGTATAGAGCCTTTGGAACTTTATAAAGACCAGTTGCAGTAGAGAGTCCTTGGAACTTTATAAGGACCAATTCGGCTGTATAGAGTCCTTGAGACTTTATAAAGACCAATTGGGCTGTATAGAGTCCTTGGGTTTTTACAAAGACCAATTCGGCTGTATAGAGTCCTTGGGACTTTACAAAGACCAATTTGGCTGTATGGAGTCCTTTGGACTTTATAAAGACCAATTGGACTGTATAGAGTCCTTGGGACTTTACAAAGACCAATTTGGCTGTATAGAGTCCTTTGGACTTTATAAAGACCAATTGGGCTGTATAGAGTCCTTGGGACTTTATAAAGACCAATTGGGCTGTATAGAGTCCTTGGGACTTTATAAAGACCAATTGGGCTGTATAGAGTCCTTGGGACTTTATTAAGACCAATTGGGCTGTATAGAGTCCTTGAGACTTTATTAAGACCAATTGGCTATATAGAGTCCTTGGGTCTTTACAAATACCTATAGGGCTGTATAGAGTCCTTGAGTCTTTACAAAGACCAATTGGCCTGTAAATAGTCCTTGGGACTTTATAAAGAACGATTTAGCTGTATAGAGTCCTTGGGGGGCTGTATAGAGACCACCGGTTTTTATAGAGTCCTTGGGAATTTATAAAGTCCATTTGGTTTGTAGAGTCATTAGGACTTTATAAAGATTAATTGATCTGTATAGAGTCCTTGGGACTACATAATCACAAATTGGTCTGTAAAGAGACCACAGGTCTTTATTAAGACCAACTAGTACTCCCAGAAAAATAAAGTATTAATGTAAAGATTTAACCCGAGTTTTTTCTTCTGGTGGAGGTCGAACTTAACGACTTTGATTACTTACAATGTTTGGCTATTATTTTTCAAAAAATTGATTTCCTATTGTCTTTTAAACGATCATCTCCCTATATTTTATTATGTCTCTAACTCTTTCACTCGATTTTTTTTTTCTTTGTTCTCTTACAAACAACTATTTTCACCTACCACCACCTAACTCCCAACTCACTTCACTTTCGCCTTTAAAGAAAAAATACAAATTTTCATTTGTTGGTTATTTCCATTTGGTTTTTCAATATTTTTTGTTTTCCATTTTATCTTTTAAATTTTGTATTTTATACTCCATATATATAAAGAAAATATATATATTTACATCTATCATTATCATCATTAAAATCTATGAACAAAAAATTAACTCAAAACTAATTTCCATATTTTATTTACTTTCTTTTATTTCCAATCCAATAAAAAAACAACAAAAATGCAAACGATTTGAAAAATTCTTTTTATAACGAAAATCAAACAAAAAAATAAAAAAAAAACTTTTTTACAACACCACAACAACAACATTCAACTGCATTCAACCACAACAACAAACCAACCAACAAATCATGCATGTGATCATCATCGTCGTTGTACTGTACAAAAAAAATACAAACATATTCAAAATCAAATGCCCACGGACCCCATTCCATTATCATCGATATCATCATTGATTTTGTTTTTGGGATTATTATTTGTCGTCGTTGCCTCCCACCCCCCAAATATGTTGTATGTATGTTTGTGGGTTTGTGTGTGTCTGTTTGGTTGTGTGACGATAATGTTGAAAATGCCCCGCCGGATCCATTAGATTCTGGCATAGGAAGAGCCACGCCACCACGTCGAGCCCAATCGCCCGGTATTTCCACACTACACAGACATATGCCTTCGCCATCGGGTCCTGGTTCATTGCCGGGTTTCATGACAAAACGACGGGGCATGATGGATGATGGATCTAGCGATATGTCATCGACGGGCAATTTAATGATGGACTATTCGGGTTCGTATGACAAAATTAAACGATCATAACAATTTATTTTTTTTTTTTTGCTCATTTCTTTTTTTTAAGTAAAGGGTAATCACTCATATATATCATAAGAAAATCCATTTATATTTTATTATAATTTTTATTTGTATTTATTTCAATTGAAAAATTTTATTTATTCTTATTTTTATATATTTATTTTAATTATCAAACTTCCTAAGAATTTAGTTTTTAAGAATTTTTTTTTAAACAAAGCCCAAAATTAAATTGTCAACTTACTTAGAAAACAAATATATAACAGGACCATAGCCCAGTCTAGGCTCTTAGTTATTATTAGGAAATCATAGATTTTTTTAGCTGGGATTATTGCTAACACCACCCTCTCTAGCCATTTGGTCGCCACCGCCGATGCCGCCTATCCTAATACTAATTTCTATATATATCTTATTTTTCCCCTACTAATAATATTAATTTGTAAACAACAACAAGACCAACTTTGCCTTGCCCTAGTGATGTTGTTGTCTTTTTTATGTGTGTGTGACCATGTCATGTTGTTGTTATGTTTGAGGTTAGCTGAACCCTAACCTCTAACCTGTTGTCGAGTTATGTTGTTTATTATTTTAATTTCCTTTTAATCACTTTATTTTTTATTTTATTTCTATTTAGTTTTGTTATGACTTGTTTGTTTTATTGCTTGTTATTTGAATATGTAATGTTTTTTTATGAGTTTGAAAAAAAAAATAATTTTATTATTTGCAACCACACACCTTAACCATAACCTTAAAAAATAAGTTTATTTTTTTAAATTGAAAGGAAATGCTTGTCAAGTAAATCGTTACAAGACCAAGTAGTACCATGCCGGCCACATAAAAACTGGGAAATACCATCAAATTGTGTTTAAATCAATTTTTGTTTATGTGACATAACCTCAAATTTTGCATTTTTTATTTATTTATTTTTGAGATCGCCAATCGGGCTGTATGGTCTTTATAAAGACCTTTATTCGAAACCAGTTTATAAAGACCTGTGGACTCCATACAGCCCAATTGGTCTTTATAAAGTCCCAAGGACTCTATACAGCCCAATTGGTCTTTATAAAATTCCAAGGACTCCATACAGCCCAATTGGTCTTTATAAAATCCCAAGGACTCCATACAGCCCAATTGGTCTTTATAAAGTCCCAAGGACTCTATACAGCCCAATTGGTCTTTATAAAGTCCCAAGGACTCTATACAGCCCAATTGGTCTATATAAAGTCCCAAGGACTCTATGCAGCTCAATTGGTCTTTATAAAGTCCCAAGGACTCCACAGCCCAATTGGTCTTTATACAGCCCAATTGGTCTTGTATAAAGACCTTTGGTCTCTATACAGCCCAATTGGTCTTGTATAAAGACCTTTGGTCTCTATACAGCCCAATTGGTCTTGTATAAAGACCTTTGGTCTCTATACAGCCCAATTGGTCTTGTATAAAGACCTTTGGTCTCTATACAGCCCAATTGGTCTTGTATAAAGACCTTTGGTCTCTATACAGCCCAATTGGTCTTGTATAAAGACCTTTGGTCTCTATACAGCCCAATTGGTCTTGTATAAAGACCTTTGGTCTCTATACAGCCCAATTGGTCTTGTATAAAGACCTTGGTCTTGTATAAAGACCTTTGGTCTCTATACAGCCCAATTGGTCTTGTATAAAGACCTTTGGTCTCTATACAGCCCAATTGGTCTTGTATAAAGACCTTTGGTCTCTATACAGCCCAATTGGTCTTGTATAAAGACCTTTGGTCTCTATACAGCCCAATTGGCTTGTATAAAGACCTTTGGTCTCTATACAGCCCAATTGGTCTTGTATAAAGACCTTTGGTCTCTATACAGCCCAATTGGTCTTGTATAAAGACCTTTGGTCTCTATACAGCCCAATTGGTCTTGTATAAAATTGTCTTGTATAAAGACCTTTGGTCTCTATACAGCCCAATTGGCTTGTATAAAGACCTTTGGTCTCTATACAGCCCAATTGGCTTGTATAAAGACCTTTGGTCTCTATACAGCCCAATTGGCTTGTATAAAGACCTTTGGTCTCTATACAGCCCAATTGGCTTGTATAAAGACCTTTGGTCTCTATACAGCCCAATTGGCTTGTATAAAGACCTTTGGTCTCTATACAGCCCAATTGGCTTGTATAAAGACCTTTGGTCTCTATACAGCCCAATTGGCTTGTATAAAGACCTTTGGTCTCTATATATATATAAAGAATTGGTTTATATTTGGTCTCTGCACAGCAAAACTGTTTTTTTTTTAATAAAATTGAGGTTATGTATTATTTTTTCTGTTTTTAATACTCTTGCAAAATTAATAAAATTATTTTATTTTAGATTAATATTTTTATTAAGAAATGTTTATATTTTTTTATTTTAAATTTATTTATTTATTAAAAATTTAAAAAAGGGTTTATCTTCCAAAATTACCCCTGACGTTTTACTTGACAAGCATTGGCCGAGCAAGCATTTTGCCCAACACCTCTAATTATTATTTTTTAATAGCCTAACTTTTTTATTACAAACCCTTTAAATGAACACATTTTTTAATTATTTTTTTAATATTTTTGTTTTATTTCAATAATAATTATTTAAAATGAAACTACAGGACCGAAGTTGTATAAACAACCAGCTGCCAAATCGAATCGTGGCATCATTTTAAATGCTGTCGAATATTGTGTTTTCCCCGGCGCCGTTAATCGTGATGCCAAACAAAAGGTACTGGAAAAAATTGCCCGTTCCGAAGCCAAACATTTCCTTGTACTGTTTCGTGATGCCGGCTGTCAATTTCGGGCACTGTACAGTTACACACCGGAAACGGAGCAAGTTGTTAAGCTGTACGGTACGGGACCTAGTCAAGTGGATGAGGTTATGTTTGATAAGTTCTTTAAGTAAGTAGAAAAATATATATTTATGCGGGAGAGAGGTAATTAATTAATTGTTTTTTTTTTTTATTTCTAGGTATAACTCTGGTGGCAAATGTTTCTCCCAGGTCCATACAAAACATTTAACGGTCACCATTGATGCTTTTACCATACACAATTCCCTGTGGCAGGGCAAGAAAGTTAATCTACCCAGTAAAAAAGACATGGCTTTGGTCATTTAAAATTCGCGCAGGAAAATAAGGAATGATTGAGAATAAAGTTCCATTGTGTTTCACAAAATTTGGCTCTCATGCTGCTGCTGCTGCAAACAAAAACAAAACCAAACCTACAACAAAATATTATTTAAAAAAAAATATTCTATGCTTGCTAATAGGTGTGACAGCATTGAATGTATATTTAAACTAAACAAAAAAAAACGAAAAACAAATGGCTAACAACAACTACTACAAAAAAACACAGTTTTAACAACCAAAAAGAAAAACTTCCTCAATTACCACCCGCCCTTTACAAAAACAAAACAGAAATGTATTCTCCCTGGAGGTTGGGTTTAAATAATCTGAAAAGTACAGCTTTGTGTTTCACCTATTACAGCTTGAGATTTTGACAATCTAATTTGTTGTTGTGGGCGCACAAAGAAATTATTTAAAACCTAACCTTCTATATTTTGTGTTAATATTATTTAATAATTATTAACTATTTCACATATTTTTTCCCAGCACTTCACTTCTCAAACCCTTTTCTCAAACTCCATAAAAGACCCAAACTTATCATCAAATGTTACATTTAAGAATTGATGGAAAATAATATATTTAACTATATATATATTAAACAACTAATAATATATACATATATATAAAGTAACAACAACAAAAAAATTAAATTGAACTGTAAAAACGAAAAGAAACTGTTCTCACACTTTAATGAATATTAACAAAAACAATGCATCAGATAAAAAGAAAAGCAACAAATATGAAGCAAGAAAAAATGGAAAAAGTCAAAATGCCCCCTATACCCACTACCCTACACCCACACCTCTCTCTCCCCCTCTCTTCTTATAATTCTATTATATAATTATACTCTAATATATATATTTTATGCTGAAAATGCATATAAAAATAAATTAAAATATATATAATAAATAAATATAAATATGTATTACTTATATTATTATTATTAATTCGTTAAATCCCTTGAAAACAAAAAACAAAGATAACAAGAAGAAGAAAAAGAAAAAACACATAACAAACTTATAAATTAATTAAATAGTTTTAAATAATAATAATATATATAACAATTTTTTTAGTCTGAATCATTTCATTCATTACGAGGTCTACCTACCACTACGAAATGCCTTTTTTTTTGTTTTTTTTCTCTCCCTTGTTTAATTTTCCTTTGTATTAACTCTTCAACCAAATAATTAATAAAAAAAATACAAAAATACAACCTTACTAACTTCCAACAGTTAGGGAAGTTAGGTTATCAATTTTTGCAAACCTAACCTAGACTTCCATTAAACCGTACGACCGTAGCTATCTTATATAAATAGTCATTATCATGAATCCATTAACCATAAGCCTAACACAAACAACTTAGTATACAAAATAAAGAAAAACAAAAAAATAAACAAAAAACAAACTAATTCATCTAAACAAGAACAAGAAGACGAAAATCGAACTAAACTAACACAGTTATATAAAAACACACACACCAACATTCACAATGGTTTTTGTGCCGTCGAGTCAGTTAAAAATAAAAATATATATTTTTTTATTAATTCATTTATTTTTTTTCTTTTTTTATATATATCTATGTACATGTATACAAAATGTTTTCTGAATTTATTTATCACACATATATACACATACACTAACTCTCACACTCTACTGAACAAAATTGAAGAAGACGAAGAAACAAACTCTTTAACCACAACAACAACAAAAATACAAGAAATAATGAGGAATTCCACACATATGTACTTTATTATTATTATTAAAACAAAAACAACAACAACAAATTATAAAACAAACGAAAAATATTTTGTATTTCAAATAAAAACCATATTAAAACAAGTCTTGTTTAAAAAAAACTCGGTGGTTTATTGTTTTTAATTAAAAAACTGGATGGAGCTGATGGGAGTCTTTTATAGACGAGCTCTGAAGGGAGTCTTTCATAGACGAGCTGAAGGGAGTCTTTCATAGACGAGCTGAAGGGAGTCTTTCATAGACGAGCTGAAGGGAGTCTTTCATAGACGAGCTCTGAAGGGAGTCTTTCATAGACGAGCTCTGAAGGCAGTCTTTCATAGACGAGCTCTGAAGGCAGTCTTTCATAGACGAGCTCTGAAGGCAGTCTTTCATAGACGAGCTCTGAAGGCAGTCTTTCATAGACGAGCTCTGAAGGGAGTCTTTCATAGACGAGCTCTGAAGGCAGTCTTTCATAGACGAGCTCTGAAGGGAGTCTTTCATAGACGAGCTCTGAAGGGAGTCTTTCATAGACGAGCTCTGAAGGGAGTCTTTCATAGACGAGCTCTGAAGGGAGTCTTTTATAGACGAGCTTGAAGGGAGTCTTTTATAGACGAGCTGATGCTCAGGGATTTTTTTTAGAGCTGAAAGGGATTCTTAATAGAGGAACTGTAGCGAGCCCTCATAGACGATGCTAATGGCGTTCTTATAGACGAGCAGAAGAGCCAGGCAGTCTTTATAGACGAGCAGGAGTCTTTACGAGGTCAGAGAGTCTTTCACATGCCTTGATTTTCAAAAAATATTATTTTCAAGAACCAATAGCTGTATATTTTTAGGAAATACTATTTTCGAAGACCTATAAGTGTGGATTTCTAATAATTATGTTTTTGATGAACAATAATCGTAGATTTTTAAAGAATATTTTTTCGAGGACCCATAAGAGTGGATTTTTAAAGAACATATTTTTTCGAGAACCCATAAGCGTGGATTTTTAAATAAAATATTTTTTCGATATATATTTAAATAATAAATTTTTTCAAGCACCGTGGATTTTTAAAGAATAATTTATTTTAGGGATCAGGGACTTTTGGATTTTTAAAGAATATATTTTTTTCTAGGGTCGTAGAGTTTTTAAAGAATATTTTTTAAGACCGAGACACATAAGGGTGGATTTTAAGCGATATTTTTTAAGGATGAATTCCGATGAATAATACCTTCCGTTGACAGAACACCTTCCAGAGAATTAATAACTTCCCGAGGTAAAATTTAATTGGGAGAAAAATTATGTGATTTTATGCCTATGTGATTGATCTGTAAATATAAATCGTGCCAGAATTCATCAATAAATATAAGACCTGTTAATGTACTTGTATCTTGAAGATCAGAGGCAATCCAGATATCTTCTGTAGAATAAGAACATATAATGGAGGTGATCTACTAGAGGTCTTGCAAAAATAAAAGTATTTTTAGATGTAATTAAAACGAGAACACCGGCAAATGGACACTTACCCAAAGTATTTTAAAATCTAAAGGTAGCCTATAGACCTTGAAATGATAGAAAATATTCTTCTACAGTTAAAAGGCCTCTGTTAACTTTTTTTGTTTCATATAGAGGACGCTTATATAAGAAGACTTCTAGAATTTCTGACAACATCCCAAAGTCTCTCTTCAGGTTCTTTAACCTATAACAATTCGTATTTTTTATATTTTAATATTTACAACTCCTTCATATCCGGTTGATTTACAAAAAACAATATCTATCGTACATTTTGTGAGAGCAAGAGAGTATTTAATATATTATATACATATTTATATTTAATGCCGCTCTTATATATCATCTAAATAATTATATATTCTTCAAATCTTCTTAAAAATCCACTCAAAAACATTTTTACAGTAACCACACAAAAATGTAGACGAAAAACGCTGAAACGTCGACGTCTGAATTGTGTGCAACCAGCCCGTTTGTTATAAATTTAACGGCGTCAAATTGTTTCAACCACACTCGCCGCTCTCTTTTAGTGTTTTGGCGGCTCTGCATTGTTTACTCACGTTGTTTTTATTTGTTGATAGTTTTTTATAAAGTTTTTCAAAATATTGAAACAACATGGTTCGTAAATTGAAATATCATGAACAAAAATTGCTGAAAAAGGTAGATTTCATTACCTGGAAAGTTGACAATGAGGGCAAAGAGAATGCGGTTCTGAGACGTTATCACATACGCAAGAGGGAGGACTATACCAAGTAAGTTCCGACAGTTGCCTAATCCTACAAAGTGTATTAATCTATTTTTTTTATTAAAAAATACTTACAGATACAACAAATTATCCCGCAATGTCCGTGATTTAGTAGAGAAAATAGCCAAGTTGGAAAAACATGATCCTTTCAAGGCAGAAGCATCGTTTTTGCTATTGGAAAAGTTATATGCCATGGGTTTGATTAACGAGAAGCATGATTTGGAAGTGGCCAGTCGTGTCTCGGCCAGTTGTTTTTGTCGCAGACGTTTACCCGTGGTGATGGTGAAAAGTAAGTTTTAATCTCCCTTTATATATATGTTTCTATATTAAAATTGTGTTTTTGTATTCCAGATAAACTTTCACAAAGCATTAAAAATGCCACAGATCTAATAGAAGCTGGCCATGTCCGAGTTGGCACAGAAATGGTCAAAGATCCCGCCTTTTTGGTATCACGCAATCTAGAAGACTTTGTCACCTGGGTGGATGGTTCTAAAATTAAGGAACATGTTCTATCATACAATGATATGCGTGATGATTTTCAATTTTAGGATTATATATTTTTAAGTTGATAGGTAATAAAAACAAAATATAATATTGAAATTTTTATAGAAAACTTTGTTTTAAATTATTATATAAATATTAAAATATAAGAATAAGGATTAAATGAAGAAAGGATTAAATGTAACGATAGTTTTACACAACAGAACTATGCTGTTGGGGTTTTATAAATTTGTGTGTCCCCAAATGTTTGTAATACTTCAAAATATGTATTTAATTTACAACTAGTCCTATCATGCCTAGTCGAATCGATCTAGCTACCTTTTTGTCCGTCTGCCCATTATGATATGTACAGTTGTTGCCCGATCGTTTCAAAATTTCGCATAAAGTTTTTTTCTTACCACGCGTCAGCTTACAATAGATTCCGCATAGTCCTATAGTTTCACACTTTTTTCTGTATTTTTAAATCTAAGAACCACATTTCCCCAGCGAAGTCCCTGTAATTTGAAATTCCGGTTTCTTATAGAGTAAAGCCAAATTTGTCGATATAAAAATTAAAAATGTTGTCAATTTGTACCCGAGGTACCCGAAGGAGTCGACCCATCTTAATCTGGATGGGTAAAAATATTACAAGGTGTAAAGTTTGGGTCAAATCGAGATTGTCAAAGATTTTATATAACTCGGTACCGCCATAAAGAAAACTAATAACACCAGCTTTGTAATCCGGAGAAGAATAACTACTATGGTCTGAGTAAGCCAGTCAAAAACAAGGCCTCTTCTCGCCAGATTAAACTCACACTCTACGAGACGCTCAGACTACCCGTGTTGTGGATCTGAAGCAGATGAGGCAGCTCCTGGTGTGTTTGAGAGAAAAATTCTCCGAAAGATCTATGATCCGATGATCTGTGTCGACGGTGAATATCGTCGTCGAATGAACCATGAGATGTATCATCTATTCTCGGACATCGACATAGTCAGACATATCCAGTTGCAGCGACTACGTTGGCTAGGTTATGTTGTGAGAATGGATGAGGATGCCCTAACTCGAAAAGGCATATAAAAGCGAGTTAGCAGAAGGGGAAGGCCACGAATTCGATGTAAAGATCAAGTGGAAGACAACATCTTTTGGAAAAACTGCGCACAGGACTGACGCTACTGAAATCTTTTTTAAGTTCGGCTTATGCAAATAGTATTCTGTCTCAAACCCCCTATGTAAGTAAAATGGTTGGATTTTTTAAAATTAATTTTTTAAGGTCCTCAGGATGCTTGGGTGTTTTAAATCAGTTCCTTTTCAATGTGGCTCGATGATACGGATTTTTTTAAAATATTTCTTAAAGGTCCTCGAAAGTGAGATTTTTTATGGTCCCTCGAAGTTGTTGAATTGTTAAATTATCAGCCTTATTCTGGATGTCAATTCCATGTGAATTTACTCGCTCTTTCCCTTCGCCTTATTCTGAACAACATTTTTGTGTGAATTTTTTCGCATTCTCGCTTTCGCCTTATTCTGAATGAAGTTCGAAAGCGAAAAAATCCGCTTTGGGGAAAAATTAGGTATTCTGGATTACAGGGAGTAGGAGAATGAGATGAAATTTTGTGCGATTTTTTTCGCTAATAAATTCAAAGTGAGTTGACTACAAAAACATAAGTAATAAATATTTTTATGAAAAATATTAACACAATACTTATTCTATGACGATTTAGAATATTATAAATGATAGTAAGCAAATATTTATCTGGAAAACAGCAAATAAAATGCATTTGGAAATCCTATTGATAATGATACATGCTGAACCAAATATTGCCAAGGTAATAATGAATATTTAAGTCGAGTTTGATGCATTTTGGAGGCGAAAAACAGACATTTTGGGTGAGGATCTGTATCTCAGGAAAAAAAATATAGAAAAACCAAATTTGCATAATGAGCCGCTTAACAGTGAAAAACTTAAATAAAAATTATGAAAAAAAAAAAAAATACAAAAAATATTTTTTTTTTCAAAATTATCGTTTGTATTATTTGAAGGAAGAAATAAAGGAGTAGGAGCATAACAGGCCACTTTAAGAATTTGGAGAGATAAAATGTCGAAATTAAATAAAAAGGCACACAATTATGTGCCTGTGTTTTTCCCATCATAAAAAAATGTTCTTTTATTTGTAATCTATTGTAGTTGTTGTACCAAAATGTATCAAAACAATGAACAGCTGTTTCACATGTCATATTGTAGGTTGCCATATTTAATTAATTTTCTTTTAATTACAAAGCATTTATAAAGCGGATTCTTGATATTTCACATTTATATTGTTATAAAGTTTAAACCACAATAACAAGTAAAAATTTTTAATTAAATAATCAATAAATAAAATATTGAAAAATATTACACAATTAAATTACAATGGGGCAACACACATTACAACTTAAATTACAAAATGGCAACACACATTGCAACTTAAATTACAATATGGCAACACGAATCTTTTTTTCAACCACCATTTTCGAAAACTCGAATCCGCATCTCGCATTTTTTGCGTCTCCCTATTCATTCAGAATAAGGCGAGAATGTGAAAGCGAAAATTTTTGTATATGCGAGATATCTCCCAGCGAATATCCAGAATAAGGCTGTATATTTTTTCAAGGTCCTTGAATAGGATTGGATTTTTTAATGGCGTGGATTTTTCAAATTAAATTTTGTTCAAGGTCCGTTGAAGACCTGGATTTTTAAAATTATTTTTTAAGGGCCCTCGAATATCCTCACATGCTTGGTTTTTTTAAATATGAGGGCTGTTTTTTAAAACTACATTTTTCAAGGTCTCTCGAAGGCGTGGATTTTTAAAACTACATTTTTCAAGGTCCCTCTAAGGCTTGGACTTTTAAAACTACATTTTTCATGGTCCCACGAAGGCGTGGATTTTTAAAACTACATTTTTCAAGGTCCCTCTAAGGCTTGGACTTTTAAAACTACATTTTTCATGGTCCCACGAAGGCGTGGATTTTTAAAACTACATTTTTCAAGGTCCCTCTAAGGCTTGGACTTTTAAAACTACATTTTTCATGGTCCCACGAAGGCGTGGATTTTTAAAACTACATTTTTCAAGGTATCTCGTAGGCGTGGATTTTTAAAACTACATTTTTCAAGGGCTCTATTAAACGTGGATTTTATAACTACATTTTTCAAGGTCTCTCGAAGGCGAGGATTTTAAAAACTAAATTTTTCAAGGGCTCTATTAAACGTGGATTTTATAACTACATTTTTCAAGGTATCTCGTAGGCGTGGATTTTTAAAACTACATTTTTCAAGGTCTCTCGAAGGCGAGGATTTTAAAAACTAAATTTTTCAAGGGCTCTATTAAACGTGGATTTTATAACTACATTTTTCAAGGTCCCTGTTAAGCGTGGATTTTTAAAACTACATTTTTCAAGGTCCTTGTTAAGCGTGGATTTTTAAAACTACATTTTTCAAAGTCCATCGAACTCGCGGATTTTTAAAACTACATTTTTCAAAGTCCCTCGAAGGCGTGGATTTTTAAAACTACATTTTTCAAAGTCCCTCGAAGGCGTGGATTTTTAAAACTACATTTTTCAAAGTCCCTCGAAGGCGTGGATTTTTAAAACTACATTTTTCAAAGTCCCTCGAAGGCGTGGATTTTTAAAACTACATTTTTCAAAGTCCCTCGAAGGCGTGGATTTTTAAAACTACATTTTTCAAAGTCCCTCGAAGGCGTGGATTTTTAAAACTACATTTTTCAAAGTCCCTCGAAGGCGTGGATTTTTAAAACTACATTTTTCAAAGTCCCTCGAAGGCGTGGATTTTTAAAACTACATTTTTCAAAGTCCCTCGAAGGCGTGGATTTTTAAAACTACATTTTTCAAAGTCCCTCGAAGGCGTGGATTTTTAAAACTACATTTTTCAAAGTCCCTCGAAGGCGTGGATTTTTAAAACTACATTTTTCAAAGTCCCTCAAAGGCGTGGATTTTTAAAACTAAATTTTTCAAGGTCCCTGTTAGGCGTGGATTTTTAAAACTACATTTTTGAAGGTCCCTCAAAGGCGTGGATCTTTAAAACTACATTTTTGAAGGTCCCTCAAAGGCGTGGATCTTTAAAACTACATTTTTGAAGGTCCCTCAAAGGCGTGGATCTTTAAAACTACCAAGGCGTGGATCTTTAACACTACATTTTTCAAGGTCCCTCAAAGGCGTGGATCTTTAAAACTACATTTTTGAAGCTCCCTCAAAGGCGTGGATCTTTAAAACTACATTTTTGAAGGTCCCTCAAAGGCGTGGATCTTTAAAACTACATTTTTGAAGGTCCCTCAAAGGCGTGGATCTTTAAAACTACATTTTTGAAGGTCCCTCAAAGGCGTGGATCTTTAAAACTACATTTTTGAAGGTCCCTCAAAGGCGTGGATCTTTAAAACTACATTTTTGAAGGTCCCTCAAAGGCGTGGATCTTTAAAACTACATTTTTGAAGGTCCCTCAAAGGCGTGGATCTTTAAAACTACATTTTTGAAGGTCCCTCAAAGGCGTGGATCTTTAAAACTACATTTTTGAAGGTCCCTCAAAGGCGTGGATCTTTAAAACTACATTTTTGAAGGTCCCTCAAAGGCGTGGATCTTTAAAACTACATTTTTGAAGGTCCCTCAAAGGCGTGGATCTTTAAAACTACATTTTTGAAGGTCCCTCAAAGGCGTGGATCTTTAAAACTACATTTTTGAAGGTCCCTCAAAGGCGTGGATCTTTAAAACTACATTTTTGAAGGTCCCTCAAAGGCGTGGATCTTTAAAACTACATTTTTGAAGGTCCCTCAAAGGCGTGGATCTTTAAAACTACATTTTTGAAGGTCCCTCAAAGGCGTGGATCTTTAAAACTACATTTTTGAAGGTCCCTCAAAGGCGTGGATCTTTAAAACTACATTTTTAAGGCGTGGATTTTAAACATATTTTTTCGGGTTTTTTAAATTAATTTTCTTCCAAAGTTTCTCGAAGTTGGAATTTTTATAACATCTATATTAAGTTTTTTTTTAATATATTTTCAAGCTCGCTCCAAGCGTTGTATTTTGAGGTTAGAATAAAAACTACATTTTTATATATTTTATTTTTTTTTTAATTTTTATTCGCATAAAGAAACTTTTGTTTGCGCTTTATTTGTATAATTCGTTTTTGAAAAAAATTACATTTAGACAAGACTTATAAAATATTGATTTTTTATTATTAAAACTACAATCGAATCGTTGTTTTATATTTTAATTTTTAACTTAACTTAAAATTAATTTGCATTCGTGTTTTGTTGTTGTTGGTTTTTGTATGTGTCGTTATTATTCAAAATAAAATCAGGCCCCAGTATATATAGTAGGAGTAGTAGTAGTATTATACACATTTACAAGTTCCAAAGAGAAGTGAATTTTTGTTCAATGGACAAAAAACTTGTTGAGGTTATGTGTTAAGGATTTTGAGGTTACATTGAATTGACAATTTAAATTACATGTTTTATAATAAAACATGTAATTTAAATTGTCAATTTGTTCATGTCAAATAAATGACAATTTCTATAAACCATATTCGATGTTTATACAGCTTTATTCGATGTTTATACAGCTTTAGGCTATGTTTACATTGAATGTGTTTTATTTAAACATATCATTTAAATTGTCATTTGCCTTTGACAGCGATAACAAAACAAGTCATGCCCATTAAAAGAGAATATTATTTTCCGCCTTTTTTGTAAATATTGATAAAATAATATTTCTTAGAAAACAATTTTCAATGGAACTTTAATGTTTTCTTGATTGTTTTTGTTAAGGAATCTCAATTTTTGTGTAATGGAATACAACTCTGTCTGTTTCTATAAATCTAAAGAAATTTCAGTTTGGTTAGTTTGAGAATTTTGGAGGGATTTGTTTTCTTTCTGTTGGAATTGAGGGGTTTGGGAAATGTCCCCTATTCACTGTTATTACCATTGCTACTGACAACCACCGATTTCTCACCCAAAACCCGCATGGCATTGGAATAATCCGAATCGATTTGTGGTATAATCTGTTTATCATTGGGGCGCAGGGTGCGAATGAGATCGGTCAGCGATAAGAATGACTGATGGCCAATATCATCAAGTTCGGGTGTTAGCGAGGGAATGTGGCGATTTTCCTCGCTGGTGCGTTTTTCAACTTCTTGGGAGATTTGCTTCAAACGCACCTCAACACCGGGTAAATCATTGTTGTGACTTTCGCCTTCGTAGATTTCCGAGGATTTTTCCTTGGAAGCGGCCAGGGAATTTATGACAGCTGGTTCCTCCTCTTCTTCTTCCTCGTGTTGTTCATGCGAAGGAGTTTGCTTATCACTGCTGCTGTCATCTGCGTGTTGGCCGGCTTCTGATTTATCATCCTCCAATTCTTGATCATGGCTATCTTCATGATCTCCCTCATCGTCATGCTGCTCACCCGATGATTCTTGACTTTGTTGGCCACTAACCTCCTCCAATTCATGATCGGTTTCTTCATTGGTTAAATCACGTCCCTGGACCGATTCATCTGCACCGGCACTATTGCTAACACCCTCCTCTTCTTCTTCTTCCTCGGCGTCATGTTCGGTCTCCTCATCTTCATGGGAATTTTCAAAAGAGGCCGAATGTTGTTGCTGCTGCTGCGAAAGGTTATCTTTTTCCAGGCTCGACTCTAAGGCTCTCTCCTGATCAAGTTTCAGGGACACATAGGAAGGTTGATTCGATTTCTTGCTTGAGGCATATGAAGACATCAACAGGGGCAGGGGAGTGGTGGTAGTTTTGATTGGATCAGAATCGGCAGTGTTGCTGCGTGGTGTAGTTGTGGTGATGGGGCGTCTAATGTTTTTGGGCAATGAAAGAGAGAGAGAAAAGAGAGCAAGAGAAGTTTCAGGTTAGTTTCAATTGATCAACAAAATTTCTATTTCAAAATATTGATAAGCTATTTGAATGCATCTACTTTGTTTTAGGAAAAGCTAAGCCCCAATTCACCACAATTCTGAGATTACAAGAGATTAGAGACAAGCGTATTAGATTTTTAGGTTAGTTTTGGGAAATATTTTTGCAATTTAATTTTCGGTTTATCAAAAAAAGAAGAGCAGTCTTAAAAGTAGCAAGCAATATGCAAACGAGAGAGAGTGAGAGGGAGGAGAGAGCACATAGAGAGAGAGGAAATTTTTATTTTAATTCAAGACCTAATAATAAGGCCTGGGATTAAATTAATAATAAAAACAGCTGTTTATTGGCAAAAACAGCTGATTTTTCTCAACGACCTTATTATTTGAATCCAAGCCAATTAATAGGGTCAGTCAGCTGTTTTTGTTATGATTAATATCAGCTGATCAACTTTCTAAAAGAAACAGCTGCTCATCCAAAGCGAAACAGCTGATCCTTATGGCAGAACTTATTAATAGGTCCGGAATGGATTATTAGGAGAACTAAATAGTTAGGGACAGTAGTAGTGCCGTTAGAAATTCTGCTCAATAGTTAGAGAAGCAAACTGTTGTTATTCTAACCTCAAAAAAATGTAGTTCTTAGTATTCTATAGCAATTATTAGTATTAGCTTGTGTGCATGTATTATTTTTGTTTTAGATGCGGGTTTTGGATAGAGCATAGAAATATATAACCTTAAATAAAAATAAGTGTCTATATAATTGATTGTTTGTATGACTTGGGGTTTAGCTCACCTAAAATAAGTTTAGCGTGACACGGCGATTTTCAGATTTGTGATTCTTATTCATTCTTTATTTTTGTTTTTAATCCATAGAGGAAGCAGTTCTTAATAGATTTTTCATTTAGCAGGTTTTTCATTTAAAGTTTTAGTTTTTTATTATTTATAGGCTTAAATTAACATTTTACAGTCTAAGGTTTTGTTGTAAGAAGTTGTTTTTTTTTCAAAATTGTTTTCATTTGATTTTTCATTCGTTGTTGTTCTTTCTTAGAGACAGAGAAGTAACTCCTATACTTTTGTTTATATTATTTTTTAATTTTTTTTTATTTTATTTTTTTTTTTAGTGTAGCAAGTTTGTGACGGGCTTCATCATCTTACCCCTGCGCTGATGATACAGGAATACTGCCATAATTATAATAATAGCAACGTGTCTGTTCGCAAATGAAATCCTTAACGGCCGAACAATCTTCGGGCATCCATTTCAAGGTGGGCTGCTTCAAAATGACACAGCCTTTTTCGGCGCCGCTGCTGCTGTTGTGAGAAGAGAGTAGAAAAAGAAGAATGACGAGAAAAAAAGATGAGAAGAGTAAGAAAAAATATATTTAGTTAGGGAATAAATTAATAATTAAATGAAAGAATAAAAATATTAAACATAACCTCAAAATTATTAAACATAACCTCAAACTAAGACCGGTGGTATCTATACAGGTCATATAGACTTTATAAAGACCAGGACTATGTATACAGATCAATTGCTCCTTATTAAGTAAAAAATATTTTACAATTACAAAAACTAAGATTTTGTCTGCAAATTCCACAAAATGGCGCTCAACCATTATTAAACATAACCTCAAATTAAGACCAGTGGTATCTATACAGGAGATATGGTCTTTATAAAGACCAGGATTATCTATACAGATCAATTGCTCTTTATAGAGTAAAACAATATTTTGTAATTAAAACAAAATAATTTTTTGCCAGCCAAATCCTGCCAAAATGGCGCCCAACTACCTCCCCCAGAATGGCGCCCAACTACCGCCCAGAAAATTTATATTTTCTTAACTGAAGTCTTATTTGCCACGACACCTCAATTTGAGCATGTCTAGAACCAAACAATCGAAATTTATAGCCATGTTCCCAAAATGGCGCCCAACGTTGAATTTCTGTATTCATGTCTGGGATCTTATTTTTGAATACTTCTCAATTTGGGTATGTCTGGAACCAATAAATCGAAATTTGTGGCAAATATTTTATAAAATTTTTTATGCAAGCTTCTAAAATGGCGCCCAACTATCTGCCTCCCAGGGTATTGCAAAAACCAGCTGTGAATTTTTATTTTTCACACACTCTATGTTTTGTTTGTGTAGTCAAAATTTTTATAATTAAAAAAAAAACATTCTTTCCGGCAGTGGACAAAATGGCGCCCAAATAATCTACCTCCCATTTCATGTTATGGCCAAACTGTGAAATTCTATTTTCTTCTTTGGGATCTTATTTTCCGATTTTCCCCAATTTGAACATGCTCGGAGCCAATAAATCGACATTTTTAGCAAAATTTTAAAATGGCGCACAACTATCTGTCTACAAGGAATTTGTATTTTTATGTCTGTCCTCCCAACTATCTGTCCGTCCAACTATCTGTCCGCCCAACTATCTGTCTACAAGGAATTTGTATTTTTATGTCTGTCCTCCAATATCAGCATATCTACAAAATCGTAGCCAATATATTGTGATCAGAAGAAAATATATATTTTGCAAAGACCCGAAAATGGCGCCCAACTATTTGCCTCCCAAATTATGATCTGGTCAAACCAGTTCCATTCCATTTTCTTTTCTGAATGCTCCCCAATTTGAGAATGTCTGGAACCAATAAATAGAAATTTGTCGCCAAGTCCCTAAAATGGCGCCCAACTATTTAAATACAAATTCATGATTGGAAGCAAATCGGAATTTATATTTTTTATGTGGCATCCTACTTTCCAATACTACAAAATTTGAGCATTTTTAAAAAAATCAAAATTTTTTTTAGCCAAGTCCCCAAACTATCTGCCAAGCATGTCATGATAGAGTAGCAAATATTTGGGATCAGAAGAAAATATTCTGCAGAGACCCTAAAATGGGGCCAAACTATTTGTCTATCACCTTATGATCTGGCCGAACTGTTAGTTTCTATTTTTTTTTTGTATGAGATATTATTTTTCAATACTCTTTAATTTGAGCATGTCTGGAATCAACCCATCCGCGAAAATGGCGCCCAACTATCAGCTTATCAAGTGGTGATAGGGACAAAATGGAATTTTATATTTTCTGTGATCCTAGTTTGCAATGCTCCCCAAATTTGAACATGTTTGGAACCAACAAATTGAAATTTGTAACCAAGCCTCTAACATGGCGCCCAACTATCTGTCATGATAGGGACAAAATGGGAATCTCTTTCTTTTTGGTCTGGGATCCTAGTTTCCGATACTCCTCCAATATCTACAAAATTGTGTCAATATTTTGTAATATTTTTTTTTTTTGGAAATTTCCCAAAATGTCGCCCAACATTCGCGCTTTCATGCCATGTGATGACCAAACTGTTATTTCTATTTTCTTGTTTGGGGTTTTATTTTTCAAAACACCTCATCTTGAGCATGTCGGAAAAGTTTTAGCCAATATTGAATTTGGAAAATGGAAAATTAGTTTTTTTTCTGAAAATCTCCCAAAATGGGCCCCATCAAACTGCCTCCCAAGTTATGATCTGACAAAACTATTGATTTTTATTTTCTTGTCTCCGATCCTGGTTTTCAACACTTCTCAATTTGAGCAAGTCTTGAGTAAAGAAAACGAAATATGTAGCCAAGACTTAAGAATGGCGTCCAACTATCGGTTCTACCAAGCCACGATATGAACAAAATGGGAATTTCTATTTTTGTCTGGGTTCGTAGTTTCCAATACGCCTCCAATAAAAAAAATTCTGCATTGTCCCAAAATGGCGCCCAACTATCAGCCTACCAAGCCATGATAACAACAAAATGGGAATTCCTATTTTCTTGTCTGCGATCCTATTTCCAAATACTCCTCAATTAATCAAGCTTTGAGTAAAGAACACGAAATTTGTAGCTAACACTTAAAAATGACGCCCAACTATCGGCCTACGAAAACTGGTCTGGGATCCTAGTTTACAATACTCCGCGATATGAGCATGTCTACAAAAGTCAGTCTCGCTAGGATCCTATTTTCAATACTCCTCGATATGAGCATGTCTAAATATTGTGGTCAATATTTTGCAATTACAATTTTTGTTTGCAAAGTCTCCAATATGGCGCCCAACAATCGCGATCTCCTACTATTTTTTCGTCAGACATAATATTTTTCAATACTCCTCACGTTTAGCACGTCTTGAGTAAAGAAATCAAAATTTGTAGTCAATTCTTACAAATGGCGCCCAATTAATTGTCACCCATGATCGGATATGAACAAACTGTGAATTTCTGAATTCTTATCAGGGATCTTCCAAAACTTCTCAGTTTAATGATGTCATCAAAATCAAAAAATTAGAATTTTGTAAACAAAATGGCGCCCGACTAGCTAGCTTCCGAGGCATATAACAGTTCGGAATTTTTATTGGCTTGTTTGGATTTCTATTTTTCAATACTCTCTAATTTGGACATGTCTAGGGCCCAGAAAAAATAAATCAAATCAAAATAAGTAATTTTAAAAAAATTTCAGACCACATCCCAAAATGGCGCCCAATTTCAAAATTAGTCATTAAAAATGTTTTTAAGACCAGATCCTCCCAAAACACGATATTGGCAAATTGTAAATTTCTAGTTTTTTAACGGCATTTCGATTCCCTAATATTTTTCAATTTTGGGCATGTCTGTGCATGTATCTTATTTAAAAAATATAGTTTTCTGCAAAAGTCTCTAAAATGGCGCCCAATTGTTTTGCCTCTGAATTATTTTTATTTTTTTTTCTCCAATAATTGTTATTATAATTTCTTATTGCCTAATTCATCCCATTGCTTTCACTTACCTGTCTCTAGCTGTCCGCTGTGGCGATGTATTGCTATTATGATCGACAGGATCCAATAGACCAGCCTGTATCGAATCAATGGTATTTTCGAAGAAATCAAATGTGGCATTAAACGGTAAACCGGTACTCATCCAAAGGAACATGCCCGTGCCCAAACGATTACCCGATGTCCAGAAATCATAATTACCATAGCCGGCATTTTTCAAATATGTTGTCATCGATTCGGCCTTTTCTTTCGTTTCGAACGAGGCCAACTGCAGGCCCAATGAACGACAGTACTGATAGGCGAGGAAATAATTTAATTCGGGTGAGTAGGGATTCATGCGGCTAATAAAGTACTGTACACCATCCAAGTGTATGGTGGTAATACGTTGACCTGCAAAGGTGGGTGATGAAGCGGAACATACGGAAAGAAAGAGAAAGAGAGGAAGAGAAAAAAATTAACAAAAATTATTAGCATGACAATGACCTTTTTTCTTATGTGTTATAATTAAAATAATGATCATGATGGTGGTGCTGGTGAGATGGGGTTCATTAACTTCCCGGTGAACCCGCATAAAATGTGCCAAAACAAGAAAAATAACACAACAACATAGTAAGAAATTATGAATGAATGAAAATATGGTAACTGACTGACTGGCTATCTCTGTGGTTTTATGTGTAACCATATTTTAATTTAAATCTATTCCGAACAGTTATAATTTTCCTTTAGGCCATCCATATTCTATCTATGACCATTTTTTATGGTCATTTACCTGTACTGGCCGTTGTTGTCAGTTGTGTTCTGACTGGCTGGCCATTACACTTTTTATTCTGACTTGGTGGAAATCACTTCCTGTAATTAAAATTCATAACGTCAAGCCACCACACCAGTCTTGTCGTCTTGTGTCTCTTGAGCCTCTTCGGGCTGGGGTTAATTATAAACATTTTTTGTTGTTGTTGGCGACATAAAAATAACAACAACAATTGTTTAGAATTTTTTTCTTACAACCAGTGGAGAAAAAAGTCAATTGTTGTTCCACACACACGAATCAAAAAATTATGCAGTGTGATTTAAAATATGCCAAAGAAATAAAAATTCGAAAAAAAACAAATTCTTGATTTTTTTATGGAAATGGAAAAGAAAATAATAAAAATTAAGAAAATATTTTTTATGATTGTGGGTGTTAAAAAAAGGGAAATTATACGCTTTATTGTAATTGTTTGTTGTAATAAAAAAAGAAATTTTAAAATTGTTTTTCAAATTAAAAAAACAGGTTTTGAGGTAAAACGTATTGGGGTCTTATTAATTATTTTCCATTTTTTATTTATTTTCATTCGCATGAGCGATCAATGAGGGAGATAGAAAATTAAGAAGATTTTAAATACTCCTCTGTTTCAAAAAACCCCTTAGAAAAGAGCCACCATTCCATTTATTGGAAGGAAAAGATGGCGCCCAATTATTTGCCACTTAGGACTATGAATTTGATATTTTGTCTGGTATCCTATTTTCTGAAACTCTTCAATTTGAGCATGACTGAAGTCAACGAATCCAAAAATGGAAATGGCGCCCAATTATTTGCCACCCAAGGCATGATATGTTCAAACTATGAATTCTATTTTTTTTTTCAGGGATCCTATTTTTCAAAACTCCTGAATTTGAGCGTGACTCAATTCAAATAAATCAAAAATTTTAACGAAATTTTTTTTATAATAAAAATAATATTTTTTCAGCGAAGCACCCCAAAATGGCGCCCAATTATCTATCTCCCAAGACATGATAAGGATAAGCTGGTGATTTCTATGTTCTTGCCTGGGTTCTTAGTTTTTCAACACGTCTAAATTTGATCATATCTGGAATCAAAATATTAAAATTCATAGCAGATATTTTGTAATAAAAAAATATTTTTTTCTGGAAATTCCCCCAAAATGGCGCCCAATTAGACATACTATTGACATTATGTGTATTTATATATTTTTAGTCTGTGATCCAATTGTCTAATACTACACAATTTGAATATAGCTGGAACCAGCAAATACAATTTTTAGATTATCCCCCAAAATGGCGCCCAACTATCTGCCTCCCATGGGCATGATGTGGGCAAACCGTGAATTTGGTTTTATTGAATTTGAGCATGCCTGGAACCAGCAAATACAAATTTGTAGACAAGCCCACAAAATGGCGCCCAACTATTTGCCTCCCATGGGTGTGATATGAGCAAACCATATATTTCTTTTCTATTATTCGAGATCCTCTATTCCAATACTTCTCGACTTGAGTAAATCTAGAACCAACAAATCGTAATTTATAGACAATATTTTGTTATGAAAAGAAAGATAATTATTTCTTTCGCAAATGGCGCCCAATTAGACGCAAAATCGCCAACATGTTGATTTCTATTTTCTTTCCCAATATTCCCAGGGATACTATTTTCCTATTTTCTAGTACTACTGAATTTGGAAATGTCTGGAACCAGTAATTACACATTTTTTATGCCCTCAAAATGGCGGCCAACTATCTGCGTCCCAAGGGCATGTTATGGACAAACCATGAATTTACTTTTCGAGATCCTCTTTTCCAATACTCCTCGATTTGCGTAAATCTTGAACCAACGAATCGTAATTGTTCGCCAATATTTTGTAATGAAAAGAAAGATAATTTTTACTTTCCCAAACGCAATATAGCAAACCTGCTAATTTATATTTTCTTGTTAGGGATCCTATTTTCCATAAATCCTTAATTTGAGGATGGCTGGAAGGCAACAAATCGAAATTTGTAGACAATATTTTATAATTAATAAAATAGTTCTCTCTGAAAATTATCAGCTTCTCAAGATATGACATGGACAAATTGTGTATTTCTATTTTCTAACTAGGAACTCTAAATTCTAGCAGTTTGTACATGTCTGGGGTCCAACAATATTTGCCGCTATTTTTAAATTAAAAAAAAATTCTTTTGCAAAGTACCCAAAATGGCGCCCAATTTTTTTTTAGAAAAAAATGTATTTTTCATAAAGTTCCTGAAAAAAGTGTCTATATATTTCCCTCCCAAGACCATGTCATGACAAGGCGGAGAATTTTATTTTTCTTCTGCAAAGTCCCAGAAATGGCGCCCAATTTTTTGTAAACTAATTTTTTTCTTAAAGTCCCCAAATTGAGAACTTATATTTTCTTGTACAAAGTCCCCGAAAATGGCGCCCAATTATTTAGAATATAAAATATTTGTATTATAGTCTCTAATATGGCCCCTAACTATCTGCCTCCCGAGACATGATATGGACAATATTGTCAACTTCAAATTTCAATTTTCAAATATTATAGAGTTTCTGAAACATTTGTACTTCTATTTGTAGCCACTATTTTGCTGTTTTCTGCAAAACCTTCAATGTGGCGCCCAATTACACATGATATTACCAAACTTTTTTATGTTTTTTAAGTAGGGAGAAAATATCACTACCTACATACCCCAAAATGGCGCCCAATTATTTAGAAAATATTAATTTGTATAAAATCCTTAATATGGCGCCCAACTATCCCAAGACATCATATAGACAAAACTTTGAATTTCAATTTTCTTCTTTTGGATCATATTTTTTAAATGTACTAAAATTTGGCATTTCAAAAAAAAAACATATATTTGTGGACAATATTTTGCTGTTTTCTCCAAAATCCTCAAAGTGGCGCCCAATTATACAAAATTGTGAATTTTTACTTTTTTTCATCGGGTAGAAAATGTTTCCTCTGCAATGTCACCAAAATGGCGCCCAATTATCTTGAAAAACAATTCCTACTGTACCTGTGAATTTCTATTTTTTTTTTCTTGAATCCTAATTTCCAATTAGATATGCTATGGACTAATTCGATAACCTAGTTTACTTTACAACTTATAGAATAAAAATTTCAAATTTTTTATAAAAATATTTTTAAGTTATATTACCAAATATAAACAAATATTATATTCTGGTCCATCGATAGTTTTTTTTAACACAAAACATTTAATATTACGATTCTTATTCTTCCAATTAGAATCTCTTCTTTAAATACTTCCAAATTTGAATGTGTATTTGCAACAGGCCTGTCTTTGATGTATTTCAACCCTAAATCAATTGAATTGGATCAATTTTGATGTTCTTATTGGATTAATAAGTTTCAGAATCATATATTTTGCAAACTAAATTTTCAAATAGGATTTCAAAAATAATTAAAAAAACATTTTTTTTAAATTATTGCAAAAAAATGTATTTCTACTAACTAAATCCTATTGATTTCAATTTTAAAGTTAATATTTTCTTTTGGCCTTATTTTCCAATACATAATATTCATAAATGCATTATGTTTTGAGCCAATATTTTGAAATATGGAAATATTTTATCCTTTGATTAAAGAAACATATTTTAAAGCATTTTCTGGAAATTAAACTCTATTTTTATATTGAAATAATTTATATCGACCAACTGTTGATTTAATGTTAATGATTTTCATATTGAAATGTGTTCTTAACAATAATGCCAAAATTGCAAATTAAAACATTCAAAATTTCAAATATTTATTTGTATTATAAAGGTCCCTTTTTATTTAGCAAACAGTCTAAATAGTAATTGCCAAATAAGTGGATTAAACTTATTAATCAGTTATTGAAATGATTTTTCAATTCTATGGAAATTATATTTTTCAAAATATATCATATTTTCTATTTTTCCTATGATAAAAATGTTTAATTCGAATCTTAAATCTACCATTATTATCATTAATGTCAACAAAGGCAAATGTTCCTTGTAACTCACTTTACAAAAAGTATTGCATACTTTTAGGCAGCTTGCTTTATGTCTGAGAGGGATTTGTTTGTTTATTCTTATCATCAACAAATCGAAAGAAATTCTTAATAAATTGTAATGAAATTCCATAACTTTATAAAAAAAATGATTATTGGGTCTTCTAAGAATCGTTGTTAAGAATTTGTTGGTTTTGAATATATACATATTTTCATAAATGTTATTGATTATTATTCTTGTTTGTGATAAGCATTTCATATTGCAGAATGCTAACAGAATTTTTAATAAGTTAACAAAAAAACCAAAATATTGTACGTCATGAATGGACAAAATATTGAAGGCAAAACAAAATAGGTTGTTGATAATATTAATATTTGAAAAAAGTAAATATGAATTACAGAAACAAATATATTATTACTAGCATATACTTAAGAGAGAAAAAAAAATGCCTTGACACTAATAGGATATTATATTAAATATTCCATGTTAAAAAATATATTATAAATTAAGCTAAAATATTTAGATATTTTGTAAAGGGAAGACAGAGAATAAATATGTTACATGACATTAGCGTTTTTTTTTCAATCGTCCACATTTCTTTAAAAAGTTAAAGGGGAAAAACATAAATATTATTTTGTGCACGTTTGACATTTCAAACCTATTAACATTACACGAGGCATATAAATGTCATAAATTTTGAAAAATATTAGAACTGCATTGTATTGAATAATGCACAATTTAGGTGCGTATATGAATGAAAAACGAAAGTAGAAAGTTAAGTGAAAAGTACAAAAACAAAAAAGCCGCCATAAAAGAAGTGCTGTTGTAAATTACAAAAAAAAAAAAATAAAATAAGAAATAAAAAACAAAAAAATAAATAAAAATTAATAGTATTCTAGAAACTCTAGAAGAAGTAAGAAATCTAAAGGAACTACATGTAGGCCAAGCTACATGTGGAAGATCTTGGACACTACTAAATGGTAAAATGGCTTCCAGAATATAACAAGAAGGTGCATTTATCTCAAACAGATTTTTAGGCCAACTCTTAAAATAAATCTAGAAAGATTTGGAGAATTACAAAAAGTCAGACATCTTTAGATAGCCGAAGATAGCAAACCTCTAGGAGATCTAGGAAGCATCTGAAAGATCTAGAGGATATTTTGAAAATCTAGGACTCCACTAAAGTGTGAAATGGCTGCCTGAAGACCTCGAGGTGGCCCATTTGAAAGCTCTTGATTGTACAAAATTAATGTCTCCAAAATAAAACAACTGCTTATTGATTTCGAATACACTTTCTAAAGGTCTTATAAACATTCTAGTATAAGACCTTTGGAAGGCCAAAGAGCCCGTGAAGATTTTGAATATTTCAAGGAAACTTTTAAAAAATTCCAAAGCCTGGAAAAACTCTTTTAGGGACTTTATCTCTAAAAGAAAAGAAGTTCTTCATAAAGGTCCAAATGATTTCTAGAAGGTCTGCCGATGTATTCTGCCTGTGGATCTCTTGGCTATCATTTGTCGAAAGGAATAAACAATTTTTAATTATTTTCTAAATTTTTGGTGCAAGATTTTATAATGAAACAATAATGTAACCATATTTTTTGAACTTAAAATTAGATATTCAAATCAACAATAAAAAAAGATTTTTTTTTATAAAAAATTTTGCAAACTGTAATAAAAAAATCTGGAGTTTTTAATTTATTTATATTTTTTTGTAATAAAAAAAATTCAAAAAAATTTTTTTTGGATTAAAATATTAAATTAGAGTATAACTGTATGTTAGAGTCTACTTTGACTATTTTATTAAATAAAATTACGTCTTGAAAATTTAACCAATTTCAGAATTTTGCTTTAAATAAAATAATAATAATAAATAAACTTTAAATATAAAAAATAATAATATTAAATTCTTTTGTTAATAAAAATACATTATTTTGGAGACAATAAAATAATGTGTATCCGAAAATTTCTTATTAATTCTAAAAATTAAATTCTAATAAATTGAAATTAATTGAAGATTTTTTTAATAAGAAATGTTCGAATTCCAAAAAAAGTATTGATTTTATTGTCTAATAAATATTTATATTTTTTTATTAAAACTAGAAATCTATATTTTTGTTTTTAATATTTAAAGTTTATTTTTTAATTCATGTAATAAAACCCAAACTTTTTTGTATGAAATTTTATATTGAATCTTGTCAAGATTTTATTTTTATTCAAAGAAAAAATTTACATAAAAGTTTATCAAATTATCTTTTAATAAATATTTGAATTTTTTGAGTTTAATTTTTTTTAATAAAAAAATCGAATATTTGATATCCATATGAGATTATTTTGTTAGGGGATTTCTTTAATAAATTTCAAAAAAATTCTGTAAGATTTTACAAAAAAGGTTCTAATTTTTTTAGAATATATAATTTTAAATTTTTCTCGGAATTAATATTGACTCCAAACTATATATTTTTTTTTAAATAAGCTAAAATCGACAGTCATCTTCAGGGAAATTGTTACGAGAGAATATTTTTTATTATTTCTTTAAGAAAATTTAAAATTGAGAATTTTTTCCAAATATTTCTTGTAAGAAATTCAATAAAAAACGTATCTAGATTTTTTCCTAAATAATTAAATTTTATTTTAGGAAGAATAAAGAAGTTAAATAATTTTTCTGAAAAATATCCACAATATTTTTTGTTCTATAGAACTTAAATAAGAAAATAAACTCCAATATAACTCATTTTTTGTCGAATATTTATTTTCTTCTATATTTGTTTTAAATTTTTAATATTTAAATTCTATTCAACAAACAATATTTATGGATATTTTTTAGAAAAAATATTTAACATTTTTTTCTTCCAACAATAAAATTAAAATGTGATTTTTTCTATATTTATATTTTTATATACAATTTTCTCAAAAAAATATATTTTTTATCGTTTGTTGAAAATATTTTTAATTGATATTTTTTTAGATATTTCCCCAAAGAGATTTTTTCCCAAATAATTTTTTAAATAAATTAATTTAATTAATTTTTAAGTCTTTTAATAAATTTAATATTTATGTTTTCTATTTTGCCTTTAAATTTTTATTATTTAAATTCCATTTTATTCGAACAAAAAAATATTTATTATTTAATTAACTCCAAGTTTTTCGAATATTTCTTTAATTTTTTAAATGTCAGATATTATTTAATTTCCAAATTTGTATTTCATAGGTTAAAATATATTGTGTATTTATATAAAAAAAACTATTATTATTTATTGTTGATTTTATATTTCAAATAATTATTATATTTTCAAAAAAAAAAAAAAAAAATCCATTCTTGCCTAGCTATTTATTTCATACAATAAAAATTCATTTAGTTTCGAATAATTCTTCCTTATCAGAGTTTTTTTTTCTTTTTTTGACACATTTGTTTAATTTTCTTTAACCACCATTTTAAATTAGTGCACCGATTTTAATAAAATATTTTTTTTAATAATTTTCTTTTCAATTATTTTTTTTACACCTACTCACCTGTAGATAGCACCGCTAAACTTAATAAACAAATTAGAATTTTATTCATTTTGAGTGTGTGTGATTTGATTTAATTTATTTTTTATTAAATTTCGAATTTGAGAATTCCACAGAAATCCGTGTTTTACTAACGGCGTCTCGATTTAAACTGACAAGCGTTGGTCGTTAAGTTAACAAACTTTGGTAACGGCCGACTCTACTTCTAGGCGCGAGCTGCACACATACAGATACACACGCAAACACACAAACAGGCACACAGAAAGCAAGGCTTAAAGGTGCTGCTCAAGTTTTTTTTATTTTCCCCCGACAAACAAAAAGAAATTCACACACATACACAGTCTTAGTCTCCTTGGGGGCTTACACAGACACACACTGTTCACTGTTTTTTTTCTATATATACAACAAAAAAATGGTTATGTAGTATATAAGGTGGCTATTTTTAATGGTTTATATGGCTCCGGGGTGTATTATTTTTCTATTTGTTGTTGTTGTTGTTGCTGTTCTTTATTTATTTTTTGTTGTTGTTGAATAAACAAATTTTGTCTTATTTGGTATTTCCTTTGATTTTCGTTGGCCTTAAAGAAGCAGAAGAAAAAGAAGCGCGACTTGTTGCCGTTTCAAATTCTCGATCGCGAATGCCTGAATTTGGGATACGCTGTAAGCTTAAAAGGAATTCTTAGCCAAAAAGACTGATGATACTCTACCTTGTGGCAGCGGACAGAAAGAAAATGAGTAATAATAAAATAAACAAGAAGAAAAGAACAAGGCTTAAACGCACACACAAACACAGCCAAACACACACACACACAAAGAAACAACAAACAATGGTTGTGACAACAGCAGAGGCAGCAGCAGCAGCAGAAGTGGCGGCGGCGGCAACGGCAGCACCAGTAATCGTTTTAAAGAAAGATGTGCCACAACAAACATTCTTACACACCAGCACCAACACCGCCACCACCATCAGCTAGCCGCCTAGCTAGCAAGAAGAAGGCTAAGAAGTATTGGGTCTTGGCCAACAAAAGAAAGAAAGGTGTGTGTGTGTGTGTCTGAAAGAACGTGTGTATATAACACCACCAACAACCAGGTTTTGTACATAACAACTACTCTAAGCCAGCATGAGGGTCCCACACACTAACACACATGGTGTTGCGGAAGGGGGGAGACAAGAAAATAAAGAAAGAAAACAAAAAACCAGCAACAAAACTGATATCAAAAAGAACGAACCCAACAAAAAATCCAAAAACCCATACCAAAGCAAAGACCAAGATCCATACCACCACACCAAACAAATAAACATGATTGCCCCCCACCAAACTACCATCATCCAACCGACCATGCAGCCAGCCGCAGCAACAAGAAGAAGATTAGGGAACACACACAAAAAAGAACTCCATGTAGAATTTTTTCTAGCCCCCCCCAAAAAACCTCAACAGCAGCCTCTGCCACAGACCAAGCTGATCAAGCCTGTCTTTTTAGCCTGGCACCCATTTTTTTCTTCCTTTGATGATATTTTTAGAACTTGGCTCATCTTCGTTCGTTCTGTCGCTCTTAACTGCTGCTGGAAGGGTTTTTCTTCTTCTTTTTCTTTTCGGGGTTTATTCTGTTTGTTTGCAGTTCGTCGTCATTGTTGTTGTTGTAATGTTACTATTTGTCTTTTATGTTGTTGGCTGGCTGGATGGATCGCTGGCTGGCTGGTTGCCTGACTGGGATATTTAGCTGGCAGCCAGGCTGCTGAGTTTTACGATGAATTTTTATTCCTACTTGTTGCATACAACCATCGATATGTTCACCATTGTTCAAGGCACACTGGGTTGGTATTCGAAATCAAAAGAATTTATGGATTTCCGATATCACTTGTATCCATCCATGTACATATGTAAATATCGGCTATGAAATCGGTTTCTTTATGATAAAAAAATGTGGGATCTATGGAATCGCAATTTTTGGATTATAATTCAAATTTAAAAAAAAACCCGGTTTTTTGGGAACCGGTTATTCGGTTTTTCGCGGAACCGGTTATTCGGTTTCTTTATGATAAAAAAATGTAGGATCTTTGGAATCGCAATTTTTTTCATTATAATTCAAATTAAAAAAAACCGGTTTTTTGGTAACCGGTTATTCGGTTTTTCGCGGAACCGGTTATTCGGTTTCTTTATGATAAAAAATGTAGGATCTTTGGAATCGCAATTTTTTTTGATTATAATTCAAATTACAAAATCGGTTTTTTGGTAACCGGTTATTTGGTTTTTCGCGGAACCGGTTATTCGGTTTTTCGAAAAGCGGGTTTTCTATTTTATTTATTCAAAATCTCGATTTAGTGTTGTAGCACAAATTTATCTGACATTTTTTGTACAGTTTTGACAAGGTCTGTGGATTCGGAGTCTAATGTGAGAAACGTAGAACAGAACAATTTTAAATGGAAACAAAAATACAAATTCGATAATAATTGAATTTTAAATAAATCGGTTTTTGGGAACCGGTTATTCGAGAAACAGGGTTTCTCTCTAGTTGTTATCAAACATCTCGAAATAGAGTCGTAGAACACATTTATCTGATATTTGTACAGTTCTTCCGCGTCTGTGGAGTCGTAGTCTATGTGTTTGGGAACTGTTTATTCGCGGAACCGGTTATTCGGTTTTTGGGAACCGGTTTTTTGGGAAACGGGTTTTCTCTCTAGTTGTTATCAAAAATCTCGAATTAGAGTCGTAGAACACATTTATCTGATATTTGTACAGTTTTTCCACGTCTATGGAGTCGGAGTCTATGTTGCAGGGAACCGGAAGCAGTGCACCAATAGTCCCCATCTCCGGCTTAACTCTACATTAATAAAAACGGTCAAATTTTTTCTGAAATTTTCTCCAGAGGTAGGTATTTTTACCCTAATTATGGGGATATATTTTTTTCTTGGGGGACGTACCCGGTTGTCCGGCTATTTGACCCGGAAGTTCGTGTATCGGTTCTACGGATCCGGAATTTCTTTGTATTCATATGGTTCTAAGGCCCATATCTTTTGATTTGCAATATATATAGCCAAATATCGCACCATTTTGGAAAGGGACAATTGTAGTCTATCATTTACAGAGGGACCGTAATGGACCCAAGTTCGACTTTTAGGGAGTTTTTCAAAAAAATCGGGGTCTAAAACCCAGTTATTAACTGTGTCTCCAAAACGGCTTGAGATAACAATGGAAAGGTATTTATATAAGCTTTAAAATGATACCGATTTTATATTAACCGGATATAATCGGGTACCCGTATCAGAATTTCCGGGTAACTGGGCACGTCCCCCAAGAAAAAAAATATCCCAATAATTAGGGTAAAAATACCTACCTTTGTAAAAAATTTCAGAAAACTGGAGTTTTTCGACACGACTATCCGGTTTTTAAACCGTGTTTTTTGTTATGAACCAGTTATTTATTTTGAATTATATTTCATAATTTATGCCTCTGGAACATACAAATTACAACACTATTATCTCCTTTCTAAGATTTTTACACCATTAAACCCGATTATTCGGTTTTTGAACCTCGATTTTTTCTAATTATGAACCGGGTTTTTATTTGAATTACTTTTTATTTGGTAATTAACGCATCTAAAACATACAAATTATATAACTATTATCTCAGTTTTAATGTTTACAGCATTAAAAACGACTTTTCGGTTTTCGAACCGGTTTTTATTTTATGAATTATTTTTATTTAATAATAAACACCTCTAGAATTTACAAATTACATCGCAGTTATCTGTGTTCTAACATTTTTAAACCATTATTTGGTTTTGAACCGGGTTTATATTTTTATGAACCGGTTTTTTATTTTGAATTAATTTTTTTACTTTATAATTAAAAATTACATCACTAATACACCCGTTCTAATATTTTTAAACCATTAAAATCGATTTCTCTGTTTTTGAACCGGGTTTATATTTTTATGAACCGGTTTTTTTTTGAACTATTTTTTTATTTTATAATTTATATCTCTGGAGCTTGCTAATCACTAATACTCCGTTCGAATATTGGTAAACCATTAAAACCGATTATTCGGTGTTTGAGCCGCATTTATTTCTAATTTTTAACCATTAAAACCGATTATTCGGGTTTTCAGCCGCATTTTTTCTAATTTTTAACCGTTTTTTTTTTAATTTAAATTAGTATTTTTTTTTTTTCATAATTTAAACCTCTAGTAGTTACTAATTACTTTACTGTTATCTCCGCTCTAACATTTTTACACCACTAATCCCGATCATGGAGTTTTTGAACCGTGTCTTTTGTTATTATGAACCGGTTTTTTATTTTGAATTATTCTTATTTCATAATTAAAACCAATAGTACTTACCTATTTCTTTATTGTTATCTCGGTTCTAATATATTTACACCATTAAAAAGGATTATTCGGTTTCTGAACCGGGTTTTTATAATTTTGAACCGGTTTTTTTAATATTTTTTATTATTTTTATTTCATAATTAAAACCTCTAGTACTTACCTATTACTTTACTGTTAACATATTTACACCATTAAAACCGATTATTCGGTTTTTGAACCGGGTTTTTATTTTGAACCGGTTTTTAATTTTTTTAATTATTTTTATTTCATATCTCCTGTATAATTATTTAAATAATAAAACCGATTATCCGGTTCTGGAACCGGTTTTTTTTTCGAACCGGTTTTTTAATTTTTTATTAATTTTTTTTTTGGTTACATAATAAAATTAGGCTCTACTTAAAAATTATGTCATCTGTTATCTCTGTTCTAATTATCTTAGACCTAATTAACGACCTGTCTAACAGCTTCTTTTTATTCTGCTTCTTCATTATTACCTTTTTGGTAGTCTTTCTGATTAGACCTAACTGTTGTTGTGTTAAGTAATACCTGACTCTAATCCTTTACTCATGTTTGTAACTGGTCCATTGTGCAACATTGTGTGAGTGTGTGTGTTGTGTTCTTTCTTTCCTCTTCTTTAAATGTTTGTTCTGTTTGTAGGGCTCTTCGTAATGGGATTGTTTAGTCAATTCTTTTTTTATTGTCCCGTCTTGGTTCTTCTTTTCGATTTTTTTTTTTCGAATAACT